AATATCATTTGTTGTTTTGGCGTGCCGAGATCGATCGTTATGGACAATGGGACTAATCTCGACAGTAAGCAAGTGAGGGATTTGCTAGAAGAATATGGAATTAATCAAAAGTTGGTAGCGGTTAGCCATCCGCAGGCAAACGGCCAAGCTGAAATCACGAACAGAACAATCTTTGCTTGCATTAAGAAGAAACTTGTAGGCGAAAAGGGTAAATGGTTGGACGAGCTTCCGAACGTCTTGTGGGGTTATAGAACAACCCCAAGACGACCGACCGGAGAAAGCCCATTCACTATGGTGTACGGCACCGAGGCGGTAATATCAGTTGAGCACTTAGTTCCGACTGTTCGAAGTTTGGCATGGAATCAGGAGCAGAACGATAGTATGTTAAAATTTAATCTCAATTTGCTGGAAGGAAAAAGAGATGCAGTGGCAATAAGGCTCGTATCATATCAACAAACGCTTATGAACAGTCACAACAAGAAGGTGAAATATAAAGATTTTGCACCTAGTGATTTAGTTCTGAAAAAGAAGGTGGGAATTGTCAAAAAGATGATGTCACCCTGGGAAGGTCCATACAGAGTTGCAGAAGCCATAGGAAAGGGGGCATGCAGTTTAAAGACTATGGCTGGAAGATTGGTTAACAAACCATGGAATGCCACATCTCTAAAAAGGTAATAGAGATTGAATTCGATTCTGAACAATGTTCATTTTGAGTTGCGTACTTACAAATGCATACTCTTCAAGATTTATAAAAAGTGTTCATTTTGTTTCAAAAAGTTGATTGAGCAAAAAATACTTAGCCAAGTAAGTGGCAAGTGGCACTATGAGTCGAATGCCAAACACTTGTGTAAAATAAAAAGTCTAGTGGCAAGTGGCATTCTAGCCGAGAGCCAATAAAAAGTCTAGTGGCAAGTGGCATTCTAGCCGAGCGCCAAGCACTTAGCCAAGTAAGTGGCAAATGGCACCATGAGCCGAATGTCAAACACTTGCACAAAATAAAAAGTCTAGTGGCAAGTGGCATTCTAGCCGAGCGCCAAACACTTAGTCAAGTACGTGGCAAATGGCACCATGAGCCGAACGCCAAACACTTGCACAAAATAAAAAGGCTAGTGGCAAGTGGCATTCTAGCCGAGCGCCAAGCACTAAGCCAAGTAAGTGGCAAATGGCACTATGAGCCAAACGCCAAACACTTGCACAAAATGAAAATCAAAGAGAAAAAGTAAACTCAAAGAGAAAAATTAAACTATCAGTTCATTTAAGCGCAGGTTGGAGTATAGAAGCTTTGCAAAACAAAGTTATCATTTCATTCATCATCATAAAATAGTTCTTGATGTACAAAAAGTGATACTGAAATGAAAGGAAATAAGTACAAGAGCCAGCAAAACATTATTCGACTACATCCTCTACTGTGCCTGATCTATTGTCTGCTCCATCATCCTTGGCTGCCTCATCACCACCGGCCGGTTCACTGTTTCCATCTCCATCATTGGTTGCTCCATCGCCTCTGGAAGGGGAGTCAAGATGGATGATCTTCTCAGTTGGTAGAGTTCTGTCAGTGGTAACAGCTATAGAAGGAACAATGGTGGTGATGGGAGGAACATTCAGAGGCCGAACAGGTGGGATGACCCCTAAAGTTGCAATCTCATTGCACTCAATGAATATATTTTCGGCAGGAGCAGGGGGTGTATCCTTATAAACGTTCAGCGGGTCAATGTCCAGGGAGGCATCTAGTTCATTTGGACCTGCACAGGAGCTGGATTCGCCTTCGGGAGGAGAACGGTCAATAAAACCGTCTCTGTATCCCTCGGCATACCTGAGAGCCCCTATCCGAGAGAAACGAGCGTGAAGAGCCTTCATGCCACCATCAACTCTACCAATGACATTCAGCAAAGCGGTGCGCTCGTTTGAGAATTTCTCTTCAGAAATGGAATGGGTCAACTGTTCAGCAACTAGAGTACGCTGAAGGTCCCCTTTCTCAGCTTTCAGAGCGTCTCTCTCGGTTTGCATGACATTCTTCTTAATTTTTAGAACGTCCAGCTCATCCTGAAGAGAGTCTCGATCATTCTTCAGGGCATCCCTCTCAGCCCCTAGAGTGTCTATTTTCTTCTCTGAGTCATTCAGTCTGACCAACAACTTTGTATTTTTGGCTTCAGTTGCCTTTTCTGCTTGGACAGATCTGTTAAGGCCAATAGAGAGGGCCTTAATTCTTTTGTTCGCCGTTTCAAGAGTCCTTTGAAAGGTGATCATCCCAAACAGAGTCTACACAAAACACAAGTGTTCTGAAGTACAAGTGCAAGGAAATCTGAACAGGAAAAATGAATGAAAGATAGTGCAGAAGAAAAGAGAGTTACCTTCATAGCGGCTGCAGGAAAGTGGTTGTATATTTCACTGTAGGTCATTTTCTCCTGGGTCTGGAGATCCTTGGGAGTCCAAATGCCTTTATAGAAGGCAAAGGGAGTGACAGGATCCTTAAACACAGAGTCTGTAAAGGCCACAATTGACCCATCCTCCCGTCTGAGCAAGGGGCGCCATGGAACCACTGCTGGGGAGGAGGTAGAGGTTCTGGCTGACTCACCCTTCGGACTGGTTACCTGAGGTGAATGGAGAAAGGTGATGACCCTATAAGTCCGGGCTCTCTGGGCTGGAGGAAGAACACTCTGGTCAGAACCATCCTCTCGCTGGGGTCTTTTGCCCAGACTCTTTTCTGAAATGTTAGTTCGGGCAAGAGAGGATCTCCCAGGTGGAGAGGTTTCGTTCAGAGTCTCAGAGGGTTCATCGTTCGGCAAAGTGGGTTAGACTTCAACTGAAGTAGATGCAGAGGGTTCATTGGTAGGCTGCCCAGCATTCTGCGCCATAGCCGGGACGCTTGGAGTGGCCACAGAGGTGGTTGGTGCAGCCACAGGAGTGACTGCAGAAGGGTTCCTCCTTCTGCTGAAAGAAGGAATCTGGATGTGTTCCATGGTGGCACCAAGAACGGAAATGTCAGAGAGGTTGTTCGGGGTGAGCAGGTCTGTGGCAGAGGGGATGTTATTCAACACTTTCTCCTCCAGAAGATCAATTTTAGCCCTGTAAACGCTGTAAACCAATTCGTCGTGAGGAATGCGAAAGCAATTGCAAAGAAAAGTGTAAAAACGAGGAAGGCTAATTTCACAGGGGCAGTCGGTTGGATGTTTCTTATACTTCTTATATAAAGGGACAGGGCACTCTCCGAAAGTGGTCGGGATAGGAAAAGTTTGAGCGAATGGAGCTCGCCAGTCTCCACTGATCCCAATTAAATTATCCCTCCAACCCTTTTCAGATGAGAGTTTGTCCGTGCATATGGATCGTTTCTCAATGGGAAAGAAGTGGAAGTACATGTCATTGATTCGGATTTTGGTGACTCTATAGCAAAGAAGAAGATCTATGATGTCTAGATCTAAGTTCCTATCACGGTTCAGGAGCATCAGAATTGATATTACCCTAAGGAAATTTAGGTTGACTTGAAGAGGGGAAAGCCCCAATTTGCTAAAAATATAACAAAAGAACGGGTGTAAGGGAAATCTGATTATGTTCAAGTGAAGAACAAAGAAGAGGACCTCTCCTGGGTTAAGACCTTCACCGGATTTTTCATCCAAGTCCTTGGGATAGACCCTAAGGGAGACGTTGTTAGGGATTTTGTTCCTCGAGCGAAGAACCTCTAGGTCAGGAGCCATTATAATGATGGAAGAAATTTTCAATGTTAGATTCTCTTTTGGGAAAAACAGTAAAGAGCAAAATCCTAGAAAATAGCAAGGGATTGAAACTAACCTTAGAAGGAGGGTTTGCAGAATACACCGTAGCAAAGCAAAAGTTGAAGAATCACAAAGGGGAAACTTATCGGAGAAGACAAGGAAAGCTCGCTGGAGAAGACTGGTAGTTGACCGGGACAATTAGAAAAGATGGTGCTTAAGGATGAAGGTGAGAAAGATTGAAGAAAGACAAAAGGTGGGAAGCTTGGGTTTTTAAAGAGAAAATGATTCAACATCCAAGGAACCACGGCAATAATGGTGCAGCGAATCTCAAAGCGTGGGTCTCTGAGCCAACCATTCGCTTCCCCACGTCACCGCCTCGAGCCGTCACATCATGATTATGTCCTTTCGATAATCTCACCCTAATTAATTAGGGAGAGATTATGGGGGCAGATGAGGATACCAAAAATGGCCTAGGCCGGGCGCGACCCAGATTGCTAGGAACGGGTCGGGTAAGAGAAACCGATCTGAATCAAGTCTTCACTTATCAGGCCCAGGACCGGAGGATCAGTTTGGAAGCCCGATTTAAGATAAAAGGAAATGGGCCCATAACCAAGATGAGCCCAGAAGGTCAGCCCAACGTAAGGAGTTAGTTAGGAAGCTTCTAGAATGTTTGTAACAGTCTATAAATAGACTGAAAAGAGAGGGAAAAGGGGTTGGAAAATTTTCGAAGTGCAGAACTATTCTTTCCAACTTGAGAGAGTATTTTTCTTGCATCTTCAATTACAGATCCATGTAGCAGAGGAACATAGTAAAAGAATGTCATAGATTTTTTGGTGATTAGGAATACATATCTCTTGAGAAAAACACCTGTTGGCAAGTGTCTGGTGGCAGGAAAGCTGAACACATTTCCCATTCCATACCCACACCCGTACCCATGATATCTTGTGTCCAATGCCAACTCCAACCAGTAATACTCCATGGGTTGACCCAGTAGGGTTTTAATAAAGCATGCAATTGACACAGGCAATGAAGATGCAATTGATCTTGCAGAGGAAGTAAGTTTTTTGATGTTATGTAAACTTAAGGCTTGAAGCCATGTAATGTACACTTTAAGAGTTGAGGAAATCCACTAGGATACAGCCGTGTAATGTAGTACATTGTACATGGTCACTATAAGGTACAAAGATATGGTTGATTGCACTTGTATGTGCCACAATTTTTTATGCATCAGCAAGCATGAATGTCATATTCTGTTAAGTTTTATTTGTCCTGACATCCAATATTCTGCAGGACTAGACTTCTCCGGGCCAATATTTTGCAGCCTCTAAAAGACATTGAAACCATCAACGCTCGACTTGATTGCCTGGTCAGTGTTGAATATGGTTCTCTCATACTACACTACAATATATGAATATATGTTTGTGTATAATTTGATTGAACTATGAAAACCCCCATGCTCTGATTATATTTTCTCGAATAGAATCTGTTTATGCATCCAAGGCATATCATTCTTATGGTTGGTTCTGTTTACAACTTCCTTTTAGGTTAAAGTAATTTTATTCCAAGTGTAAACTGCATTTTCTTCACTCATATGATATGGATCCCTTAAAAAAGTTACTCTCCTCATGACAATTAACTTTTTTCGAATTGCTATATTGGAGACATCTTCTTACTCCAGCTGTCAAGTAAGTTTATTGAAGCAGGAAGAAGATATGCACAAGGAATCCCCTGATGGATGTTACAACAAAAACTTTAGACCAATTAATTAACATTGAAATCAATTGACTCATTATGTAGATATTTTTACCTGAAAAAATTGATGCCAGAAATAATGTACACATTGATGTTGAAGGTATAAACCTTGTTGACTAAAGAGGTCAGATTATACAGTCAAAATGACCGATTTTTATTTTTCTTAAACAATTCTTCTAACAATGTGATTTTGTCATTGTCTATTAATTAGCTTGCTCTATGATTTGTCCATCTTCATAAGGTTAATTGATGGATGGGCTGTACTCAAAGTCTGAGTGAGACATTTATTTAAACATCTTCCCATTGGATAATTTTGAGGTTTTGAATCTGATTTTCTTATTGTCGCGTAGTTTTTACATGTCCTGTGGTTTGTTTGTTTTGAAGTACAGCATGACTTAACCCCCCCCCCCCCCCCCCCCCCCCCGCGAAAAAAAAAAAAGAATCAAGTACAACATGTCCTTCACTTGGGATAAATTATCATGCACATTTTACAGTAGTTTTTCACATACTCATTTATTCTGAGAATCAAGCTCCACATGTCCCTCATTCGGGCTTATTTATTGCTTATATTCGAAAGGTTATTTTCTGTGATGAGCTGGATTCCTGATTGCAGCTATTTGGGCCTTTACTAGCTATCAATAAATGTGACTCCCATAATTTTTATGTCAATATTATTTTATATTCATCTTGTCCATGTAACCTGAACAAGAGGAACACATCAACAAAAATCAATCTAGAATATTTCCCCTTATCCACCTGAACTCAGTTTCATATTGGATTACATGAAGATGCTTCTTTGTAACAATTTTGTTTTAGTTATACAGCTGTGCTTATTCAATTAATAAATTGACACCATGAGACATCTTAAATTTCAATTCTAGGATGAATTGATGAGCAATGAGCAACTGTTCTTTGGCCTATCTCAGGTTCTTCGCAAGTTTCCAAAAGAAACGGGTAAGCAAAAGGAGGGAAAAAAATGGAATTTTTTTGCAGTTCTTGAGAGCATATACATCTTTAGGTAGCTTCAACTAATGTGAACTTGTTCATGCTCTTCATCCAGATAGGGTTCTTTGTCACTTTTGCTTCAAGCCAAAGAAAGTTACAAATGAGGTCTTGAGCATTGATAATGCCAAGAAGAGCCAAATATTGATATCAAGCATTATTCTTCTTAAAACTGCTCTCGAGGCGTTGCCTTTAGTCTCAAAGGTACATTAGATAGCTTCCATGTTCAATTTATGGTTCTTGAAGACACACATGATTTGAAGAAATAAAGATTTTTATCTATGTAGGTGCTTAAGGATGCAAAGACTTTTCTTCTTGGAAATATTTACAAGTCTGTATGCGAGAGTGAAAAATATGCTTCTATAAGGAAAAGGTAGTTTTGCAAGTTTTCTTCTGCTTTTGGAATATATACTGTGTCTATATATACGGCATTAGATTGTTGAAAAACTTGAAATATGACACTTTAAAAAGACCGAATTGATATGAAATTTTAAATTTTAATCAACTATAACAACTCTTTGTTTTTTTATGAAGAAAAAGAGTATCAAGAACCACTATCAAAGTTGAAACAATTACAGGCAACCAAACTTTCCATATACACTTGTTAATACAAGGATTTGGAAACAAACTTTTATCAATCCAATGAAACTTTGCCTCTCCCAGAAAATGTTTTGTTTATAAGTCCTCTCTTATGACATGAGAATTTTGTGCTTGTAGTCCATTCCCACCAACCACCCCCCACCCCCCCTCAACCCCCCCCCCCCCCCCCCCCCCCCCCCCCCCCCACCACACACACACACACACACACACACATTCATGTTAACCCAACTCTGCTGTTGTCAAACTCTTTTATGCTGCACTTTTTTTTTAAGTGTGAAAGGAGGATATAACTTATGGGTGACAATCAGCGTCCCGATGCATCACACTTGCATATAGAGAAGGAAATGAATAGATATATATAGAAATGAATGAATAGTAAGGAAATGGCTCTAGATACAAGGGAATGAGGAAAAGGATGTGTTTTCAACCTGAGACTTGGAGCAAACTTCTACAATGATGGTGATGGGAATTTCATTGATTATCAGAAAATTGCTGTTATTTTTCCCTGACCTGCTAAGAAATTGTATACTTCAAGCTAGAGAAGTTACAAACTTTTCATTGAAGCTACCAACTATGATTGTAATTGGAGCGATGTGGAAACTGTTCTTGTAGCTCTGTGCTCTGCTGTACATTCTTATCATGGATATCTTACTCTGTACATACTCGGTCAATAATCATATGGATATAGATACTTTAAAGGACTTAACTTATTTTCTTAAAAAGGTGAGTTTATTTCAGAATTGGAGAGGTAATCGATGAAGATGTGCTTCATGCAAGGGTTCCTTTTGTCGCTCGGACACAGCAGTGTTTTGCAGTAAAGGCTGGAATAGATGGATTTCTGGACATTGCACGGAGATCATTTTGTGACACCAGTGAAGGTTTTTCTTCTTGTTACTGCTACAATTTTTTTCTGGATGTGTTGTTGTGCTGCATACTAAACAACACTAATTTGACAGCCATACACAACCTTGCAAATAAGTACCGTGAAGATTTCAAGCTGCCGAATTTGAAAATCCCTTTTAACAATAGACAGGGATTTTACTTTAGCATTCCGCAGAAGGATATACAGGGAAAGCTTCCTAGCAAATTCATTCAGGTTGTGAAGGAGATATTTTCTGTTATTTTATATTCTAGGAATTTCCACAAGTGGTTTTGCTGACCTCTAATGAGCTTGTGAGAAAAAATCAGGTTATGAAACATGGGAACAATATACATTGCTCAACTCTGGAACTGGCTTCTGTGAGTATTATAAATTTATGATCATTTAAATAATTCTTATTTCATGTGTTTGGTTTTAGTCTATGGTCTGAGATTGAAACTTGCTGACATCATCAAAATTAAATGGTCTGATACTGCTCTTTGACGTCATGAATTAAGTTCAGTTTCTGTTGTTTTGCCTCCAAAATCTGGTCCTCGTGAAAAATGTCTCTGCATTTGAATTTTAATCAATATCCAAACTGTTGTCTGGCCTATCATTTGGGTATGATGAATTGAATAAATTTTGTGGTGTTCTGAGGCACTTTCAGGGTTGCATTAATCTAGGTAAAAGGAGGTTATGGTTATGTAGATGGTGTTCTATACTTTTGAGTTCTCTAAGAATTTAGATTTCAAGGTAGTCTATTTCTATTACTTACCTGAAATTTCTGTTGGATGCCATAATTCTGGGGAAATAAATTTTTTGATGCAATCATAATGACTTTTGGAAGAGACCTTTGAAAAGGGTATACTTACCCAAGAATGCAAAATTATTTTGATGAAGATCAAGTCACAACTTTCTTCACTTATTATTCGTCCCCTGTGACCAAAGCATGCAGATTGTTACAGACAAATTGAATTTGTTAAGTTCAAACTTTCTGTGGAAGGGCTTGAATGAGTATGAGTAAGGTGCAAGAGATGAATGAGATATTTAAATCATGCTGTATGGTGTGAGAATTTGGAAAGCCATCTTTTATATTTACGATGAGTTCGTTTGTAATTTATGGTTCCTGATTGGTAAGTTGATACATCAAGAGTGTAAGAGGCCCATTGGTTAGGAGAGGCACCTTGTGAAGGTACGTCCCATGTTTATTTGACTGGGGAATTCAAGTGAAGGATAACCGTAGGATGCCAATGGAGTTAGGAAATGGCACTAGTTTGTTTCATGGACATTAATTTGACATGGTGGTATGGAATTTTTGAAAAATATGTTGGGATAGAGTATGAGGACACGGTGATAAATAATTTGTATATGTAGTTATATTATATATGAGACACATGATTAATTTATTTCCTACTTGTAATTTATTATACTGGCTATTTATTTTCAATTTATGATTGGTTAGTTTTTTAAAATGTTGAGACACGAAGACAAGAAATACACAGCTCAAAAGTGGAAAAATAATAAGACATATACTATACATAATATATTGAGATGCTAGTAGACACAAGGTAAACAGATAAGTTGCTTTCTTATATGTCCTTACTAGTTGTCATATATCATTTGAAAAGTTAAACACTTCTCTTGTGCAGTGTCCCCTCTAGGTCCTCTCAATTTTTTCTCTGCACCCTGCAACTCCTCCATATATATATATTTTTTTTTTGCATCTAATCCTCAGTATAAGAACTTTTTCTGTACCCCCTCAAGTTGTTGATCTCCATCTCTGAAATATGAAATGGCATTTTCTAACATTTTCAGTGGATTGATAAAATCTTCCTCTATTACCTGGGTCATTGATACTTGCTTTTGTTTATGGGATGATGGTCAGAATAAAGTAGTAAGAATTGATACTCTGATCAGAAGATCTGGTTCAAATTGGATTAGTAATTTACAGTTTTGTTTCAACATTCTCAGAGGATGGATGTTCACTCTGAAAGGGTTGGCTGAGAAATCTGTGTTAGTGTTTCATAAAATTAAAATTTCAAATCGCTAGACTTCTATATCATATGGTGCTCGATCTTTTTAGATCTCATGCCATTTTTTTTGCATCTCGAGGGTTTCTTATCTGTTCCATCTATTGAGAACATGAATTTTTAATTTTATTTTTGTCATGGGGCAGACTGTCAACAACTGGAGCTTGAGGCTCATTCTATCCTTGTATTCTTCTTTATTTGAACGTGATGCCATTTATCTTTAAGGTTGTCTTTGTGAATTGATTATTTTGACTCGTCATTTTTTAGGCTGTGCTTAAGTTTTAGCTTTTCTATTTAATTTAATTGAGAATGATATGTAATGCATGTGAAAGATCAAGAAGTACTACAAGCATTTTTATATGTATATTTTTGTGCGACCACTTGTCTTTATGTATGTTTATATGTGTGCAGATTTAATTCATCCTGATTCGTTTCATAAAAAAATTGCAGCTAAACATGAGGAACAAGTCTGCAGCTGGCGAATGCTATATACGGACAGAACTTTGCCTGGAAGGTTGGTTTAAACCTGATAGATGTAATGCATCTTCAGTTTCATATATCTTATACATTAGCTTTTATCTTTTATTGGAGATCTTATTTTTTGGACTCAATCAAGTGCATGGCTAGACGCATTAGATAGATGTTATGACTACCTGCTTCTATGTGCTGGGTGTTCGATCAACAGTTATTCTATTCTTTATATTCTTCTTAGTCACTTTATTTTCAAGTGTTGGACATGCTTTAAAGATTTAATATTTATTATCATTTTTTGTATTACATGTAGCACTGGTTGATGGCATAAGGGAGGATGTTTCTGTGCTCACCTTGCTCGCAGAGGCTTTGTGCCTTTTAGATATGATTGTCAATTCATTTGCTCATACAGTATCCACAAAGCCTGTTGATCAATATACAAGACCTCAATTTACAGGTGACTTTGGTTCTCTCCCTTGATTTCTATCGATGACTTCAAAACTGCAATGAGAGGAGTGTTTGATTTTGTCATGTTACTGCAGATGATGGCCCATTGGCAATTGATGCTGGAAGACACCCTATCCTAGAAAGCATACACAATGATTTCATTGTAAGTTTCATTTATTTTCTCATTAATTTTGTTGCGTTTGAAAATTTTCCACTAAAGAACATTATTAGTATTTTTCGGTTGACAATTGCTAAATCATTCATGCATTCAAGAAATTGGCGGTTTAACTTCTATTTTGCAGCCCAACAATATCTTTCTTTCTGAAGCGTCGAACATGGTAATTGTCATGGGCCCAAACATGTAAGAGAACCTACCATGAAAGTTCTTTTTCTTGGCATGGATTCTTTGTATTGAAGTTTACTCAAGCACTGTATCATGAAAGGTAAACATATATTTTGAGGCATATGTTCTTAATGGGGCAAAGAACAAACATTAATAATACTTTATAAAAGAACTTCAAAAAAATGAGGTAAATAGCTCTAAGATTCTTCTTTGAACTAAAATGTTCAGTCATTTTTGAACTACATATGGTTCTATCTTATTTTAATCAATAAAAACAAGAATTTTGGAGTGAGATCATGACAGTAGATTTCAGTATATCTATAGGTGCTAATCAAACATGTATAGGATAATGGGATTGATCACTGATAACACCAAAATTATGGCATTACATTTCAAATAATTTAATTAGTCATTAGTCACCAGGAAAACTAAATGTAATTGTAGGTCTGAAATAATTTTTGTCATGCTTCCACTTCAATCTGTTCTTTGCTACATTGTTAAATAACTTGTACTACTGGGATCTTTAAAAAAAAAAGGGTCACAAATGTGAGCTAAATTGTTTGAATGCTAAGGTCTTGAATGAAGTTCTCAGGTAAGAATTTAAGATAACTTGTCTTCAGAAAAGGATCATGAGTAACTAGCATAGCTTATTAAGGTGGTCTAACATAAAATAAGGAGGTAAAATTGTGTTCTTCCACGGACCAGTGAGCCTGTGCTTCAAGTCCTTTCATTGAGTATTGCTTACAGGTTTTTACTGGGATTTTACCTGTCCTCTTTCCCATAAGATCCCATTTGGGCTTTGAGGCAATTTACAATGAAACTTTCTTATGCAAGGATTACTTTAAATATTTAATAATGGTAATAGCAAGCATTTTTACACTGGAGTATAACCATATCTTGTTTCATTCAGGAGTGGGAAAAGTACTTATCTTCAACAAGTGTGTCTGATAGTCATCCTTGCTCAGATTGGTTGCTATGTTCCTGCTCGCTTTGCAACTCTTAGGGTAACTGATCGTATATTTACGAGGATGGGGACTGTGGACAATATTGAATCGAACTCTAGTACGGTATAAAATGTTGACTTTTAGTTTATGAAAATATAACCTTTTTCTATATCGTATCATGTGTGAATAAAGCATATGGAACTACTTCTCATTCTTAGCTTTCTCAATGTATGATGGTTATTTATCATATTCTTTGTCCTCTTTTTCCATTTAATGATTGCAGAGTTGATTTCATGTTCTTGACGTACTTTTAATTTTTGAATAAATAATACTTTAAATCAATGTATTAATTGTTTTTCTGTACCCGTGCTTAGCCCTGACCATAAGCCTGGTCGTTGGACATTGAGCTGGTGGCACCACTAAAATAAAAGTAGGATTCAGGATATTATGATTATCAGAAAGTTCTGGGGAAAAAAATAAAGAAAATGCCTGACAGATGCCTAAGTGAACTACGAAACCATTTTCCACTAAGGCTCTGTTTGTTTGGACGTAAAATATTTTTCAGAAAATATTTTTTTATTTTCTGGTATTTGGTTGTTCCGTAAAATATTTGCGAAGAAAAAAAATATTAAAATTTAATAAAAATCACTTATCCATCAATTTTCGGCAAGTTATTTTACATGCCCTGCCCGATGGACTCGACCTCAACCTTGATGTAGACCTTTGCCAAACACCAAAAAAGTAAAAATAAAAGAATATTTTACCTGGAAAAAAAAAAAAAATTCAAAAAGAATATTTTACGTCGAAACAAACTGAGCCTAAAAAAAAGTCCAATTTACTTGAAATAGAGTTTTTTCCCCTTTACGAGTCAATGTAGGAGAAAGTACAGTGTTCTTAAAGGATTTGGTTTTTACAGTTCATGACAGAGATGAAAGAGACAGCTTTTATCATGCAGAACGCCTCTCAGAGGTACATACACCGCAAAACTGTTATCAAGGCTTTGAAATGTGTGTCAGTTTCTTTAAATATTGTACCGAACTGAATTTTCTATGCTGAATACAGGAGTCTGATAGTTATGGATGAACTGGGGAGAGCTACATCTTCCTCTGATGGATTTGCAGTTGCGTGGAGCTGCTGCGAGCATCTATTAGCACTCAAAGCGTAACCACTTATCCACTTAAATTTTACATTTCTTCATCGAATTTAAACAGATAAATGTGCTGTATAAATAGCTAACTTTAAATCTGTCTCAACTACAGTTTATGGTATCACCTTTTGTGTCTGCTTACAAATAAGGTTAAGAAATTTGATGATGAATCGCCAGAAGTAGGAAAAGTTGATCATTTATTAGCGGTTGCAATAATCATAACAATTGATGCGATGACAGCTAGTAAACAACCTTCCAACCAATTTGTTGAAACAGGATAGTCTGTGTTAGATTTTACCTATTAAAGAAAACATTAAAGGCAGGAATACCTTTTAATAATGGGCATTAGTTTTACCTTCGTTATTTCTGACTAGTATGTAAATTGTTTGTGCCGCGCCATCATTTAGTATTTTAGTCATTTCTGTTGTCTTCTATTGATATCTTTTGACGGCTATATTTCTCGCTTTTATTTTGTTACGCTGTTTTCCAATATATGATGACCTTTTCTTTTTTTTCCCTAGTATATATGATTACTTCTATATTCTCATAAAAGTGTTATGCCCCCTGAATCATTTCATCTTATGCTTTTTGCTTAAAAAGAAAATGTGTCGGGAGCCTGCCTTAATCGGTTCACATTTGAACTTTTTAATCCGAAAGAAGGGCCATTTACTGAGCCGTTTTTGCTGTTTCAAAAGCCATATAATTTTGGTCATCAAGGTTTCATTTAGAATGTTGTCAAAGAAGCCAGATGGTGCTGGCAATACCCCTTTTATGTTTTTTATACAGAATCTATTATTAATTTTCTTCTCCTTTTTTCTGCTAGAAAGGTTTCAAGGAGCTGAAACTTTTTTTTTTTTTTTTGATTAGTACAAGGAGCTGAAACCTTTTATTTCATAGTTCCGAGTCACTGTTCTGTTAAGAATCACCAGAGGCTGCCAAATATTGAAAATGAGATTCACTCTTTGAATCACCGAAAAAGTAATGACAATTGTAGCACTAATGTAGGCACACAATATAGCTTATCCTGCTGAAACTATCATGCTCAATGCCTGGCTGTCTATACTTCTGAACAGAATATAAGTCATCACAATGGTTTCTAATAGAAAGTTGACATTTTAAATAATCTGATCAGTCTCATATTTTTTTACCCGACCTGGCAAGCACTTTATGAAAGCTGTTGCACCATTCTGAGATACCTTCCTGGTTGATTTGCAGGTATACTATATTTTCCACCCATATGGAAAACCTATCAGAATTAGCCACCATCTATCCTAATGTGAAAATTCTTCACTTTCATGTTGACATAAAAAACAATCACTTGGATTTCAAGGTGGGACTTCTAAAGTTCTTTTGATGGGATAAAGTTTTCATTGTAAAGCAGAAAGTTCTGAACAAAGTTCCATTTTACTTGACCAGTTTCAACTCAAGGATGGACCACGACATGTACCGCACTATGGCCTTTTATTAGCAGGAGTGGCTGGATTACCTAGCTCGGTGATAGAAACAGCCATAAGAATCACGTCAAGGATCAAAGAAAAGGTAACTTTATTGAGTATTGGTCTACTCTCGGCCAAGAAATGTGCATTAGATGTTAGCAGATCTTGTCTGACTATCCTCCAGCTTTTAGTTGCATAATTCATAAGCCCGCTTGAACCTCGTGCTATGCTTGAAAATTGGAAAACTTGAAAGAATTTTATGAATGGTACCATAAATAGAAAAAATTGTAACCGACAATTTAGCATTTGACGTGGAGAAGTACAAGTTAAACAGGTAATTTCATCTATCAAAATTTTCTTGAAAAAAAATGATGTAAACTTGATAATTCTTTCAAAATGTAGGGGAAATCATGGATTATTTAGTTCTAATATAGTTTTCAAAGACAGGAGAAGAACCAAAGTTCCAGGCTATTTGCTCGAAAACCCATAGACATATATTGAAAATCCTTTCATGTGATATCAAGCCCCAATATTTTTTCTTTTTGAAAGGTAGCGCTGGCTAGTTTATATAATAAAAGCCTTCATTTGAGTACGTGGACTTGAGTTTGAGAGCAAGCATTTTGTGAAAAACGATACCAAAAGTTTCGTCTATCTCCATTTTGTGTATTCTCCGCAGCACTGTGTAATGACCATTTGAATATATCCGAAGATATATATTTCAGAAGAAAATGGCTATCCAACCACAATTTATCAACACCAAATTCTAAATTATTTATTATATGATATGTTAGTTGTGGACTAGCAGTTCATTTTACCCCTCTTCTGTATTTACAGAAAGAAAAGAGGATTGCAGTAAACAGCCTGCGATATAATGACATCCAGAAGGCTTACCATGTTGCTCAACAGCTGATATGCTTGAAATATTCCAGCCAAGATGAAGATTCAATCCGACAAGCACTGCAGAATCTTAAAGAGAGCTATATTGAAGGAAGGCTGTAAAGTTCTGTAACGATTCCTTGATATTATAATGTGCTTTCTTCCCCTCCCCCGCGTATAGAATGTGCATTTTTAGTTGGTGAAAGCTTGATCAATCTAACAAATAAAATGTTTCTTACGGAGAAAAAAGTTTCCTTTTTTGTTTGGTTGGGTTTTAGTTCGCACAAACATGCACATACATTATATATAAATGGCCAGGTTAGTAGGAGTCTTCATAACGTATACCTGAACGAGCACCATCATCATTGATCATCCTTTCAAGGCAGTATTGACGATCTTGAGGTTTCATCTTAACAATATAATGAAATACTTAAATTTGGTCACAAACAAAGCATAAACTACAAGCATTGGTAAAGACTTGGAATTGAAAACTAATCAGGAGCCTAGGTTATCACAATGTATGGACAATTTATGAATTTTCAGAATTATATTCAAGATAAAAGACAACTTTTTGCTCCCATCTAGTAAAACATAAAAGATATTCTGTTTCCTATAGCACTTGAACAACTATTCAAATTAGCATGCATTCTCACATGTAACAAATCCTTTTAGTTCCAGTTATGCATGTCTCAAATATTTAATGGGCTAGCCCTTGAAGTGTAATCATTTGAAAACAATTTGTTAAACCCGTGAGAGTAGTCATGAATAGGGAGGGAGTTTAGTGGAGAGAGTAGAGAAGAAAAGAGAGTGGATGAGAAAATGTGACTAATAGGAGCATGGTGTACTCTTTAATCATCCAGAAGAATTGTCAAACCCAATGGTTCCTTTAAAAGATAAACCCCTAACAGGTGTAATGTCTGTAACTTAAAAAGGCAAAAGAAAAAGATAAAAAGAAAAAAAAAAAAAAATGTGTGGGACCCACAAGTTTAAGTGGTCATACGACCAAGTTTTTTATTCTTTTTTTTTTTTTCTCTGTGTTGTTTCTTCTGTCTCGCAGCTCTCTGCTTCTTTGTATTTCTTTTTCTTTTGCAAGCTTTCACTCTTGATTTCTCCCTCATCTCTTATCGGTTTAAGGTGCCGTTTGAGACAAAACGACGAGCACGACGAGCTCTACGTGCTAGTACCAGAAATTTCAACTTTTGATCCTCTTTGGGAGCTCGAATTTAAGAACCCATTTCTAGGGATTTTGCTCATTTTGAGGTAGGGACACCTTAATCCACTACATTCTTGTTCCATTGTAAGTTATAATCATTTGTTGTGCCAAGCATGCTTAATTAGAAGTTAATTGTATCAATGATTATTTTAAATGTTGTCTAGAGAAATTCATGTGTATGAATGTGAGTTGTTTTATGTGTAAAGCATGCTTAAATATATTTTGTTGTATCTTAATGTGTTAATAATTACTTAGGAGATGTTGAACATGTTGAATGTTTAATTTTATGGCGTAGAATTTTAAATGCCATGACATTGAATATATGGAACATATATACATGCACATACCATTGGGTTTGCATGAAATGGGAGAAATTGTTCTTGAAATAAATATGGGGAATTTCAGGGAAGTGTTTTTGATGAAATGGTTTTATACGAAACCTGATCGCTGCGGGGTTACCAACGGGCCGGAGGTTAATATAGCCTAGAGGGGACTAGGGAGTCGCCCTAGCGTGGTTGAGCTAGCTGGGCCCCATAATGACGCCGCGGGGTTACCAAGGGTCAGGGACACTAGCCAATCCTCCTCTCGTGTCGCGGCGGGGCTACTAAAGAGCGGGCTGTATTAACAGTTTGGAAACAATGTTTTGGATTATGAAAATGGGGAGCGACACTAGCATGCATTGCATCTCATACCATTACATTGGATATACTTGAGATTGAATCGTTATGCTGTATTATTTCCCGACATTGTATGATCCCCATTTCCCATTGGCCTATGCTTTGTTTGGATTCACAAGGACATAAGATGTGTGTCTTAAGTGTCACCTGCTGAGCTTTATGCTCACCCTACTATTTATATTATTTTTTTCAGGTCTTGGAAATGAACTGGTGGACGACAATCCACCTCAAGCTTGAAAGTTGTTAGAAGGTTGTTTGCTATTTTGTATTTTGACCGTTCTATGTATATTCGTAGTTGTGGAAATGTAACTAAGTTAGTATTCATGGCTTGTAACTTAAGAACGAACTTATCTTTTGTTTGATGTAAATGAAACTAATGAAATTATAGTATATGTTTCCATGAAATTGTATCATGTACCGTTGTAAGACAGGGATTTTAAATATTAATCATGTATTTTGGGACTGTAATTATGATAATTTAGATTAATTGGTGTGTGGATGTTCTACCATAGAGGAACTATGTTGAGGTGTAATGAACGGATGAATGGGATGCTGGATGATTTTATATGTTTTGTGTATTGGGATAGGTTATTGATGGCCCATTTTTAGGGAAGGTTATGCCGAATTTTTTAAAATTTTGACATCAGCTAGGGTCGTTACAACATGAGCCTGGTGTACTCTTTAATCAGCCAGAAGAATCGTCCAACAACACTCACACGCAAACAAATGACATGTCTTTTGGATCAAAATCCCACATTCCCACCAGTCGCAACCTGTTGGCTTCAAATTCATTGAAACTGCTGCACACGGCATACAAACTTCTCTACCCTCTGTTCCATTCTAGATGGACATTACATAAGGGAATGAAATGTCTGTTGCAACAAAATCCCGCATTCCCACCAGTCGCAACCTTTTGGTAAACCAACACCTAACATGTTATGAACAAAAGCATAAACAGAACATATTGCACATATCAAATGTTGTTTCACATATCATGCACACTTTTTGGCTAAAAGAAAACACATAATTTGGCTTCTGCTTGGCATGCCAACTGGAGCCCTGGGTCAATTAGTTTCGGACGTTCAAAAACAATTTGCATTCAAATAGTGAATCAAACTTAAAGTAAATTCATGTCTAGTGCAATTTTAGAAACAACTATCAAATACAATGCAGAAATTTAAGTTACTCTCAATGTCATCCAAACAAAATTCATATAATAGTGCCAAAATACCAAGAAATAACAACAAAGTTAACGGTAACGACGGAGGGAGAGGGTGTTGTTCCTTTTCCAGGTTGCCCTGCGAGAAGGTCGTGCCTTGTGGTGTCTGTGACCCTTTCCACGCAAGCCCCTGTATTTCTTTCCAGCAGAAGTGAGCCCACGGAGCTCCCTGTGCTTGTGGACAGGGTTGCAGATCCAGTTGATTCTTGGGTCATTCCGGATAGCATTGTGTGCAGCATCAACCAGGATTACCTCATAATACTTATAAGTTGAATCCTACATCAAGGAAATTTAAGTATAAACAGAAACGAACAAGAAATGCAACAAAATAATAATAATAAATAAATAAACATTGGAGTTAAGCCACAAACCTCATTGGTCCAGTACGAATTGACAACCTTAAGACCGCCCAACTTCCGACCAGCACGTTCCTCTGCAACTGACCTCTTGCTGCGCTGGAATTTCAGTTGAGTAACACCTTGGTTTGTGGGCTTACCATACACAATACCCTTGGAAACAGGCCTCTTGCGGCCACCTCTTCTAACACGGACACGGTAGACCACATAACCCTAACAAAATTTAATGATGTCACCATCTCAGAAGATATACCCACAAAATAGAAGGTATTATAGCCTAGATGAATCAGCAATGGCCCAAGTGAAGTGATAACAAAAGGCAAAGGCTGAGCTGTTCAACACCTTCCAAAACACGAAAACAAGCAATGCAGACATTCACCTGAAACGGTGTCCCACGCGTGCGCACATAGAATGGCAACCCAAATAAAGCAAGAACAATAAAAGATTGGGGAAACCATTTTTGGAAAGGAAAAACATTCACTCCGTTGACTGGTTTTATATTTTGTGTTTCAAAACGTTAAAAACACACATGTATTTCAAGTTACAGTTGATTGTCATTCAATAAGACCTAGCATCTAGGATACAGACACACACACACACACACAAAGTAGTCAATCAAGCCAGCAATTGAAAGCCCTCGCGTCTAACTTTACTCCATTTAGTTATGAGGCATGATGCGAAGTTCACAGGATAAAAAATGTATACAGAGACCACTATATTATGTAAATCACTAAATCATCACACGTGCAATCAGTTTAGAGCCCACTTAACTCCACTTTATTAAAAGTTAAGGCAAAAGTACAATGAGTAGCAAATTTCACAAGGTCAAAATGAATCATCAGTCTCCTATGTTATATACATCATTATTTTCAGTATGGATGCCATCTATGGACAAAAGAAACATACAAAGATAGTGCAACATGATACGGATACACCAACACAACAAATCTTTAAAAAGCAAGGCATGAACACATCAAGAGCATGGCTATAGAGACATATCTTTTAACATATAACAAATATTTATATTTGAAAAAATTACTTAATGATAAGTAAAATTAATATATTTTGCATAATTTATAAACCATAATAATCAGTTAGTCCTTATAGCATTACACAGGAACATAGCAAGCACGTAACATTGTGTGAATGCATGTGTATAATTACAAATGTATATGCATATATACAGAAATACATAATTATGGCAGCTCTCCAACTACATGCCCACCTCGGTAAAACATTCATATATTTGATTTTTAATATGGTTTTAACTTTTCTAAATTTCATACAACATTTGTGAGGGAGGCAATAAGTGTTTACACAAGCAAGCATGGGGAAAGGCAAACCAGGATGAGCTCAATTAAGGGAACGGTTGCTCTTGCACTAGAGGGTTGGCTAGTGGAAGACTCCAAGTCCTAAGAAATGTGATGTATTGCTCATACACAACTCAATAGTAAATAAAAACAAATAATTAAAAACGCCAACTTTTGGAGAAGATATTGGGTGTGCCAAGCATACCACATCATTAGTATACCTACCCAATGAAAATGCAACATCCTATAAAATTGGTCCCACCTACTAATAAAAAACCTGACAAGTTAATATGCTGCATTTTCGTTGGGTGGGCATGCCAATGACGTGGTATGCCTGGTGCAACCAATATCTCAATATCTTCTGACTATAAGAACATTAAAAAATATATAAAATGTGTAGGTTAGACAAATTCAAGTATAAGTCATTATGCAATTGGTTATTCATATCTAAACTATTCTCCATAGTAATGTAAGATTTTACTTAAATTCAATATGCAATTGGTTATTCATATCTAAACTATTCTTCATAGTAATGTAAGACCTGCAAACAATAGAGGAGTGAAGGAAAACGACAGCAGCAGCTACAAGGGGGAGAGATCCTTCTCATTTCATTTGTGTAAGAATCCTCAAATTTTGTTATAGCTTAGTTTGGCAATCCAAGAAACACATCAATAAGCATTCAAAAGATCTCTAATAGAGCAGATTAAAACTTAAACATGTATAACAAGTGACCCACTATATATGATCAAAATAGACGTAAAGCAAACACAAATCTGAGCACAATTCAAACAAAAAAACACACGCAGGCACTAGTAAATCGTCCGTCTCTTCATCCATTAATAACTGGTAATGACACATTGAACAAATATAATCAACCAAATATAATCAACCGAAGTGACTCCAAAATTATAATAACAGAGGTCACCACACACCATCACGAAACATAAATAATTTAAAAATCTGAATTTTGGAAAACCAAAATTAAGCATTCATACAAAAAAATCCATAAACCAAAAACATTGTAACACATACACGCACACATATATTTGGGTGTATGCATCTGTATATAACGAACCTAAATTCATTACCTGCTTGGCTTTGTAGCCCAAACGGCGAGCCTTATCAGGGCGTGTGGGATGAGTGACACGAACAATAGAAGGAAGCTGGCGGTACTCCCAGCACCTGACTCTCAGCAAGAACCTCATCACATCTGATTGCTTCTTCCTCCATAACTCCGACACGTACGTGTATGCCCCTATATTTTCACCGAAATGTATACAAATAAACACACACATGTAACCCCGATAACATACGTTGAATATACACTTCAAATGGTATCAAATGCAAATCTAAGATGCTACTATGAAATGATCAATTGATATGATAAAACAGTTTATGCTAATAGAGTAGATCAGGTTAGAGAGAGAAAGTACCCATTGATCTTCAAAGCTGCTGCAACCTCGCAGTCACGTACTATGGTTTTGTCTGATCGAGGAGGGTTAGGGTTTGTAGACAAACCGTGCAGTATAAGAAGATGGTGTCGCTGGATATGGGCCGCCCATCTCTGCATTTAGGCCCACTCTTTAGGCCCGTTAACCAACTGTTTTGACCCTAGGTGTATGAATACTAAAAAAAAATAATGAATATTAGTAATATGATATTATAGTGTGTATTGGGCATGGAGGGTACCCGAAAAAATAGTTCCTTTCCAATCATATAATGTTTAATTATATTATTAAGAAAAATATACCAATCATACATTGTGGTTACCTATTATTATGAAAAAAAAAAAAAAAAAAAGAATATTAATTGATTGGACCAGATACGAAGTTATCAAAGGGTATTAAATTTTTTTTCCAAGTTCGAGATTGATTGTTCGAGCAAAATATTGTATGTAAAAAATATAGATTCATTTAAAAAAATAAAAATATAAGGTAAAAATTGTATGTAAAAAATATAGATTTATTCGTTACAAAAATAGAAAATAAAAGGGTAAAACAAATAATCGCTATCACTCTCATTTACTTAGAAGAGAATTATAAAAAAAAACAATTTCTAATTACATATAGTTATCATTTGTTTTCTCATTTAAGTTATTTCTTATTCTTAGTTTTCTATTTTCTCGGATTTGATAATCCAAAAACATATCGAAGATGGTTGTGTTATTATCGCCTGAACTTCTCACAATGAGAGATTAATTTTTTTAGAGATTAACTTATTAGTAAGTGTCAAAAGATAATCATAATTTAATGGTTCATATAACATTAAGAAAGATACGGTGACTTAGTTATTATATGTTTAAAGAAATAATTTTAAATTGACAATAGAATAATTATGTTGTAGCATAATAAAATATATTTTACAAGTATTGTATCTTTAATATAAACACGTCGTGTATTTTTTTAAAAAAATTATTGCATAAGTGTTAATTTTTTTTTAGTATCAATGTATTATATCGTGATGAGTTTATGAACACTAAGGAATTTGAATTTTATTTTTATTTATACTTCGTATATATATTATATATTTTTTTACTTTTTTTTTTTTTTTTTTTTTTTTCTTTTTTTCTTTATTTTTTTTTTTACCTAAAAGGTAGAGGAGATAAAAAATGTAGTGGTGACCAGTTAATCGGTGATAGTCGCAACTCGCAAATGGCAGGACAAAGCACAATTAAAAAAAATAAAAAATAACTGAAGAAATATAAATTGACATTTTCACAGACACGATGTATTATCGTAATCACACTCAAGTTTTCATCAATGGCGGCCTCATCGTCTCTGCATTCATCTTTATCAAACCCTACATTCATCTCTCCACAGAAACAGCACCGTTCCCCTCTCTCTCCTCTCTCTAACTTCAAACTCACCAGTTCCCAAAAACACTCCTTCAAACCCCTAGTTTCTCGACCTGTACCACCACCAATACAACCACAACCACCAACCCTCCACCGCCCCTCCGCCTCCGCTTCCGGTGTCCCTTCAACTACCTCCAATACCTCATTCCACGGTATCTGCTACGTCGTCCGCGACAACATCGACACCGACCAAATCATCCCCGCCGAGTACCTAACCCTAGTCCCCTCCAACCCCGATGAATACAAAAAGCTCGGCTCTTATGCCTTAATTGGCCTCCCTTCATCGTACTCCACCCGATTTGTCGAACCCAACGAATTCAAATCCAAGTACTCCATTGTAATTGCTGGGGACAACTTCGGCTGCGGCTCGTCCCGCGAGCACGCGCCGGTGGCGCTGGGAGCGGCGGGAGTTGCGGCGGTGGTGGCGGAGTCGTACGCAAGGATTTTCTTCAGGAATTCGGTGGCGACGGGCGAGGTTTATCCTTTGGAGTCGGAGGTTAGGGTTTGTGATGAGTGTGAGACTGGGCATGTGGTGACGATTGAGCTGGGAGAGAGCAGGTTGATTAATCACACGACCGGAAAGGAGTACAAGTTGAAGTCGATTGGGGACGCTGGACCGGTTATTGAGGCCGGTGGAATCTTTGCCTACGCAAGGAAGGCTGGGATGATTCCATCACAGCCTGCTTAAAATTGCGGTATCAATTCAATTACTCTGATTTGTTTATACTCATACATACATATATTCACACACAAATGCATACACTGTGTTGATTTCTGATATTTATGCTAGCCCATAGCAAAAACAGGTTTCTGATCAAATGAATTTGATTGATCTGTTAACTTTTTTTTTATATTTTATAAGTAAATTGATCTGTTGACTTAGATTGGCTACAGATAGAATTAAGCGGAAATGAAGTGAAACCCATAACGATAAATCCTTCAACACTGTTCAGTTACATCTTAATGTTCTGTTAGTGATAACTGAGTAACTGCTATAGTAAGTCCTTGACTCCTTGTTATGGGTATCTCATGCATTTCCGTAGCAATTGAGGTATGAATCCAATTGTCCAAACGGTTCATTTAATTGGATGTATCTCCACTATTTGATGGTTTTCAATCACTTTTAAAATTGCATGAAACAGAACCATTTCAAATTTCTACCACCATCTGTGATATCTGTGATGATGGCTACCGCTTTCTTTGCCGGTGCCAAAGATTTTTTTATTTATTTTTACATATTACTGTGTATAGGACAGAGTAAGTCCCATTCTCAAAGCCTTACTCTATTAATAAGTTGATTTCTAGACAGGACCTTTTGTGAAGGATTCTGCCTCAATCAGATTACTGACCTAAGGGGGCTTACCTAGGAAGCACTGACTCGTAGCCGCAAATTGCTGAGCTAAGTAGGCTTATCCAGAGAGCATTTACATGTCTCTTGGTGACCATGTCAGTGAAACATGTGCCCAATCATGGGTACGGGCCAATTTTGTGTAGTCTTCTTGTTCTTTTTCAAGTCAGACATATCAGGAACATGCCTAGACTCCTCAAAGAAACATGGGGTGGTTGTATAATTGAAAAAAAAGAGGCAAAAACATAAAAATAAGAAAATATTTGGAGTAAAATATAAAGGGAGGAGGGGAGGCTAAAATGATCAGATTGAATATCGTCTCAGATTGCACAATGTTATAACAAGAGAAAATTAGTCACCAAACTTCAAACAATGATTAGATATAAATGAACCATATTCATTGACCCAATCCTATAATCTTCCTCCATCAATTACATTGCCTCTAGCAGCCAGGACCACTATCACTCCTTCAGCATACCATCACTTAGTCTTAGCTCTGTACTTCTTGATCAAATCCTCACGATAGGCATAAGTAAGAGACTGTGCTTGTATGGAGAGAAAAGTGTGTTGAGAGAAGTGGATCTTCATTAGGGACGAAAGAGAGATTTCTATTTTTGAAAGTTATCCATGTGGTTCATTTTTAGGAGAAGATATGTTTACAATGAGGTTTTTTGTTTGTATGTGATACTGTGGCTTAATCAAATTGTTCACGTAAGGGCCTCTTTTTCTATTTTTCTCCAACACCCTGACATATCTTTCCCATTCTTTTTTGTTAGATTCTCTTCTTATGTGGTGACTCCACCTGGCTCCTCTCCTTAGGTGTAGTTTTGAACTTGGTTAATAATCTTTCCTGGCTTTATCTTCAAGGGAGGACCTTCTTCTAGTGTATCTGGTGTATTGCTGGATTTTAATTTAGAATTCTCTCTAACAGTTTAAGAGATGGTTCCTTCTGAACTGAGTTTTAATTTTGAATTCATGCATTAGTTAAGACACGGCTAGGTCTCTGGCTCTAGTCTTTTGTATGGGGACTTTGCATCAATTGAAGTTTCATCACAATGCCATGTGTGGCAAGTCTTTTGAGTGAAAAAGCTTCAAAATAAACATTCCTTTTTCTGGAAAAAAGAACAGAGGTTACATATTCACATCATTGACTACATATTTATATTTTGTTAGTCTAGCCATTTTTTCTGTGGATACTCCTTTGAAAACATAGAATTCCTTCATTGTAATGAGGCAGATGTTTTAGATAGTTGATAGGTCTAGGCCGAAAGTTGCAAGGAATACATCTCTTGATGATTGGTAAAAAAATTAGGGGTGGTTCCCATAAGTGAGAAAAATTAGGATTAGATGGTTTGGACACTTGCATCAGAGTCATAGAGACGCACCGGTCAAATGAGGAAACTAGTAATAGAAGGTAAGAGACGGGGAGGGCAACCAAAAATAACATTGGATGAGGTTATTAAAAATGATTTAAAAAGTTAAATATAGGGTTTGGCTAACTTGTATGTAATAGGAAGAGGATTGGAGAAAGAGAATTCATGTGGCCGACCCCATATGAATGGTGTTAAGGCAAGGACGACAATGATGATGACATCTCTTGATGATAGCTTTAAAACTTAAAACTAAATCCATATATTCTCTGTTTGATCAAAAGGTCTAGCATACTAGTAAACTGATAAATGTAGTGAGATTGTAGCCACAATTAAAGATAATGAAAAGTCAAAATCTCACTAGGCCCTTTCATTAATTCTTTGTTGGGGGGTGGGGGTGTCCAAAACTTGTGATGATTGTTATGTCCCCAAATTTATGAGGACTTTATGCCTTTCTCATGATACATAGGAACCAACCAACAAGAACACTGCAGAGTCCTTTGTAGACATGTCTGATCCTTGAATCCTTTTTTTGTGGCTGAGTTGATTCAATCACTTAACCAACATGCTACAAGGGGACAGGCGGTCTTATGTTTCTTTCCGTCTGTATTTCAGTGATGTGCGTTTCTCAAAGTTGAGTGCCTGAACATAATATTTCTTTCAATCATTTTCCAATTCGAGTCTGGAAAGCTTTACTTCTTTATTGGGGAATTTATTTTTTAAAAACTAAATTTCATATTTATGCATTTGATGTACTTATTGAATATTTTGCTTGCAGATTTACTATACTCAGTGAATTGCTAGCATGCTGGATTTGTAGACTAGTGAGTTGTTGGCTTCTCTTCATCCAGATGTTCGAGATAAGATCTTCTTCTTCTTATAAATAAAGCGATATTTTCATGAAGACCCTTTGTATTGAATGCAAGCTCTCTCTTTGTAACATTGATCCTGCTGCTTTCACTAAAAGTTGCACTTAAAAATTGTGTTTTAGTGTTATGTCAACATTGTCAGCTGTGGTGATTTTGTTAGTATAAAGACCAAGGATATTGATGTTAAGATCCTACATTTGATTCTTAGCTTCTTCAAATTGCGGAAGCACTGGCTTTAGTTCAAACTGCACAAATGCACAGTTTGAAAGGGTTGATTCTCACGTTTAATATGGAAAAAAGCTATCAACTCACACTTGAGCTCACTCCTCACAAGTTGCGAAAATGGGTCTCTCTCTATCCAACGGCTGGGATGACATACTTGCTCTCCAATATAAATTTTCCTCTTAAATAAGCTTGATTTAATTGTTTAAATGCTTTCCGAGGCAGCATTTTAATTGCTCTCATTTAAAGTTATTTAATCCTGGAAGAACTGGGAGCCTTTGCAGGTGTATGGTTGTGGGATGTTATATTATTGAATCTTTGAAACTGGAAAAGTAACAAAGAACATGGAGAATAAGTACTAGACAATTTCACGTTTTAATAAGTTATGCAATTTCAGGTTTTGTGTTCACACATTGCTCAAGGTGCTTTTGATTGATTTTAACCAGAGACCTCAAATGTATATGTTTTGATTGAACGAAATGCAAAAAAGTCTAGACTTAGCATCAAATGTTTTGAAGCGTGTGTTACCCGGTGTATGGTGGTGAAGGTGAATATGTCGCCTGAGACGGATCCTACCGAAGAAGCAGCAGCAGAGGCTTTAGCATCAAATGTGGGTTACAAATGAATTGAGATGTTCATGGTTCGGATTCTGACTCTTTGAATGAATCTAAATTAAGCTCATTTACCACCAAAGGTTGTAGCCTATTAAACAAAAAAAAAAAAAAAATTTATAGAAGGACCCTGCAAAGAATAATAATAATAAAATAAAGAAAGCCCTTTTCGAACAAAACTTTGGAAGCCCATTTTGAACAAAATTGGACTCAGTTCGTTACTCTCAATGTGACTTTTTAGGAAACTACTTATAAATAAACTTGATTAAGTAAATTAATTGAGAATGTTACATTAGTAATTTTTTGAATACGAGCTCAAATTGTGTCTGAGAATGAACTTTTTGTAACTTTTTAAATTAAGCTAAGCTAAGTCTGAACAGAATTTGAAACTTGATTTTTTATAATTTTTAAACTTATGATGAGTTCAGTTCCTACTTAGTTTTTAAAAGGATTTGAGCTCGAGATGAGTCCATAAACAAACCAGATCGAATAATTTGAAGCTTGACTGGAGAGAGATATTTGACAAACCAATTAATGCAAGAATAAAGAAAATTAAGATCTGAATATAACTTGTCAACTTGAATATTATTAGACAATAAAAATCATATAAGAAGATTAAACCTCAGTGATATTTGTACATATAGAGAGATAATGGCATCTCTCACTAGGAACAAACTATCCTAAATGTATCTGGGCGTTTTCTGCATCCACCCCCAATGGCGTCAATCTCTTCTCCCATCACTTCAATTTACTCCCACTCCTTCTCTTGAAATGCTGATCATCATCATCACCACCCTACGGCACCAAAACCACTACTCTTCATGTGATGATGATGATCTTCGTGATAGCCATTTTTAGTTGCCCTTTGATGATCTGACAAGAGCTTTCGCTTCTTGGAGACCAAAGATTCTTCCTCTGCAAAGCTGATGTTGGAGCAGACCCTAACCGTCCGCTGTTTTCGGTGGTCTGCTCTTGCTATTCTGGTAGTCGATTTGGGTGGTAGTTTTGGTGTTGCCGATGGCGCAATTCCGGGTGGGGTGTTCCTCCGGCGGCTGCAATAATCAGCTCGGGGTGTTTGTGAGATAGTCTTCCGCTACACCATGGAGAAAAAAGGGAAAAAAAAAATGAATTTAGTTAGACTCAACTATTTTAAAATGAAATTTCATGCACACCCATACACGGATTATTACTAGCCCGGACTTCAAATAATTTATTTGACATTGCATTTGAGAGCATGAAAGTGGAAATGAGAAATTTGAATTCGCGAAAAACAATTTTCAACTTGACTCCAATTATCTCCAAAACATGAATTCCATAATATCAAAATTTGAAATATTTTATTTAAAATTTTGTTTAAATAATTCTTCAATTTATTGATTTTATGATAATCTGGAAAAACCTCAGCTTAATGGAAAGACCCTTATATATCAGCTAACAAAGAAACTACCAGATATCTCTAGAAACTTGACGAATTCTGTGCCCATGGGCAATTTCTTGGCCACACCCGGTGTGTGTATATATATATATATATATATATATTTTAAGCAAGATTTTGTTATTAAAGAAAGGTTACATTGTTAGACAATATTATTGTATCCAATCGTGTCTAATGGTCATTCCTTGAAAGTAGAACATAATGAAGGAGAGAAAATAGGATAGGATGGGAAAGCAAGAGTCAAAAGTAAGTTGCGCTGGAAAGGTTGCAATAGAGAGGCCAAAGTGGCATCAACAAACTGATAAAAATGTGAAATCCTAATTTGAGTTGTAAATTCTTGTATATTCAGTCCTATTCATTTCCTTACTTTTTCTCCACTTCTCTGCAGCTAAATTTGGGGGATTTGCAGAAGAAGAAGAATTGAACCGGCTATTATAAAGCCAGAAAAAAAATTTCGAAGGACATTTTGCTTTCTCTCCTCTCGAATCCAAGTGGGACTTGAGGCTCGTTCCGTACTTGACTTACGAGCTCGTGTTGTACTCGCCCCTATCTCGTGAAGGGGTGCACACTCGCTGTCTACTAAAAATTAATACAATTTTAAAGGAATATTGGAATCCCTTCTTCCATTTATTATGGAGAAGTAGGCAAGCTTGGTCCTGCCAATTGTTGCTTCTAACCATGAACCTTAATCTGCTCAAAAAATATTACATGTATAAAGAGGAGAGGGAAATTTGAACAACAAAAGGACATACAGATTTTGATTTCAATGAGCCATTTATACCCAATCTCTTTCCCATCCGATTCCGATGTGGAACAAAATGACCCTTGTTTGCAGTTGGGCCACCCTGCCTACTCGGGTGGACTCACCCGGACGCCTTCCGGGCGGGCGCTTGGCGTGGCACCGAATCAAGGACTGGGTTTGGCTCTGATACCAACTGTAACGGGTGGGCGCTTGCCCATTTACCCAAAAGCTCGAACTGTTAAGTAAGGCTGCATACCCACCCATTTATACCCAATCTCTTTCCCATCCGATTCCGATGTGGAACAAAATGACCCTTGTTACAGCTGCTCACTTCCCTACTGAATTCCCGATCTCTGGACAGATCCCTGAAGCAATAAGAAGGAATACAATTTATAATCAGACAAAAGGCGTATAACAGTGCTTCGCTTGTACAAACCAAAAGCCCCTTTTATGTTATAAAAAGCTAAAAACACATACAAGTAACAAGAAGAAGCAAATGGAGCTTGAACACATGAATAAGAACGCTAAAACCACTTCCACAGAAAACTGAACTACACAGCCTTTCCAAGTTCATAGTTCTTATTCCATTTATTATTATTATTATTATTATTTTTTGGCTTGGTTTTTCCTTTTTCGAATAGACTTATGTCAACTATAATAACCACCTAAAACTACAGTTGACTTGGCAATAATCACAGTATGCCGCCAAGTACGGCAACAAAGCTCAGTGTTGTGCCCTACCACTTGGCTGACTATTTGAAAGGGAAGGGAAGACAATCTTAAGGTATGACTAATGGTTTAGCGCTCTTTCAAGAAAAGAGAAACAATGAAGCATACCTTTGAGGTGGGACAAGAGGCAACATATAACCATGTGCTCCAAATGAATCTGGAGGTAAGACACCCCACGATGGAACATCAAAAGGACTGAACCCATAGCCCATACAATCAAAAGCGCAAGGGGCAACGCAGCCTTCCATTCCAGCTTGCATGCCAGTCCAGTATGGATTATAATAGGCGGAATGGTCAAACATCATATAGCGCATCTCTGCAGCTGCAAGACATAAAAAACTTGAATGTTATGACATCCAATCACCCAGGCGAGAAAACCTCACACCATTTGAAAATATTATATTTTCCAAAAAAAAAACATTCACAAAGAACCTAACTATTCATGAAGTCTCAAGAGGTATCGAACAAACGTACCATTAAAAGGTAAGCAAGTTTTCTTATTTTTCTTTTTATTCCCTGAAAAATGAAAGCAAGATATAAGAAGTTGAACGTGAAAACAGGATTATTTCTTGTAAATGTCTCTTGTGCAAAGTCCAATTAGGCATACAACTATACAAGTACCACATCGGACTCCCTATGGAAAAAGGACATAAAACCAGGGAACAATATGCTTCGGAAGTTTCATTATCTAAGGAACAGATACTTAAAAAGCATTTTATGACAAAGCCGGAATCTGTAATCAGCAATAAAGTATCAAACAAGTTTACCTGCCTCGCCAGAAACTGGCTTCTGATGCACTTCCTCGTCAGCCGATGGGGCGCTCCCCTTTGATCCTGGTTACCTCACAGTAGAAACATCTGCGACTCTTACAGCCCTCCCTTCCTCCAAAATTTGCTGCGGTACACCAACAGTCGTACTCTTCTCTGCAGTTTCCTTAATGTTTGGAGTTTCCTCGTTTTGAGTCGGTGACACTTGCTCTCCCTTTGAGGCCGACGGGACGGGATGGAATCTTTGGCTGTGGACAGAATGCAGGCTTCATATCTGAAATACAACCTCGTGCACTGCTGGAATTTTCTGTACTGCTGTTATTGGATTCCAAAATACGGTTGATAGTAGTAACCCTGAGTGTTTTATTGGGCAAAAGATCATCTGCAAGTATATTTGTGGCCCCACAGACACACGTTGATTTAGAAATGACGCGATCTCTTATCCCTGAAGAGTAAAATCAAGTCATCAGAATTTGAAGATCCAAACACTACAGATGTGCCAACTAACAGCAAAGATTTCAACAAATAAACACGCAAAGTCGAAAATCCTCATGGTAGTCAACCATGAATTCACCCGAAGAAGAAGAAGAAGAAGAAGAAGAAAAGAAAGTAAGGCACCCTGTAAGTTCTAATCAACTATAATGGCTAAGAACACTACTGAAGGAGAAAAAGCATGACAATGCCAAAGTATCATAATGTATGGAAATTATAATAGTATTAAATCTTACATTTAATTAAAAAAAATCCATATAATAGTATTAAATCTTACATTTATCACAAAAGCTTTTGAAGCAACACTTGCTCGTCAAGGCAGCATCTTTCATTACTTCTTTGCACAGTGGACGGTGAAGTTCTGGTGGAAGATTGACAATAGAACGAGAGGAAGGCAGCCCCTCAATTTCTTTTTCAAAAATAACCCTGTACAAAATACAATAATTAAAACAAATTTTCTGAGCCAAAAGCGAGCCTTTATAACAATACGAAGAAACAAGACCGGATGCAAAAGAAAGAGATCAGCTTACTCATTTGGCTTAAAAACAGCAACAGCACCACTTGGTAATGCATATGAACCATCTGGAGTTTCCATTAACATAGACCTTGGAATACCAGTAGGAGGTCTCACTCTTTTGACATCAAAATTAGAATCACCATTGGTAGATCAGTGCTGAATAAAATGCCCTGAATTAAAAAAAAAAATAAATAAATTTGTTGGACTTCCTAATATGGTATATTTTCACTACATAGTCAAATTCAAAACCAGAAAAAAACATTTTCATACCAGGCTCCTTGCATCTGTGACATATGTAGGCTTGAGGAGGTGTTTTCCGCTCCAACACTCCTTAAGAAGTAAAGCACAATTTTAGTATTGAATGCATAATTAATAACTAAAATATTTAATTACATGAAAGTATAATATCAAAGATTTATAACTAAACAAATTAAAATCCTAGATTTGATTTAATGGTTGTTCCATCAACACAACCAAAAAAAGAAACCACCTCGAGAAAATCAAAACACCAGTAGAATAGCAAAGGCAATAGAGAACATTGAGAATCATCTTGTTATACATATTACATCATATATAGAAGATTTACATAAAGAGACGCGTAAAAGAAAATCACCGGAACTATGTCCACCCCTCATTCTTCTGCCCATATCCCGTCCAAAACCTCTGCCAGGACCAAAGCCATTGAATTCACAGTGTATCTTAAATAAAAACACCACCAAATAGATAAGAACAAGATAAGAGGGGACTTTTTCAGGCTTAAAACACCACCAAATAGATAAGAACAGAACAATATTGAATTCACAGTGTATCTTAAATAAAAACCAATTTAACCAATACAAATGAATTACAACCGAGTGGAAAAGGACTGAGATAGTACCCTTCTGGTTCAATAACTTGTTTGATAACAATGGGCTCGTCTGGTTCAATAACTTTTTTTTTATAACAATGGGCATGGTCTAGGAACTCGACGAATTAATACAGAGGTACGTTCCGGAATCAACAATGCTTCATCAGCATAATCTGAAATGACAAAATAGCTAAATCAACCCATAAAAACTGCAAAAGGATGAATCCATATTACAAAACATATAATTCAGAGACCCAGAAGGCATGTTCCCCTGGTCCTAACAAATCAGCTAAATTATCCCATACAAACTCATAAACCTAATTACTAATATCAAACCAGTCAATTTGATCACAAACACCTAACCACCTCACACTCATAATCTGCAAGTTCATAATCCACAGCAGGTGTTTCATCAAAGCATTAATTTTTTATTTTTTTTCAACACCAATACACCCTCCAAGTGGCAAAATAACATAATTTTATCATTCATATAAGTCCTAAAATTTGCTTAAAATCATATCAAAGAATCAACCCATAGTTTTATTAATATTAATAAGAATCAACTCATACTAGAAAAATAAACCCACCTTGTCTAGTCTGGCGTCAGTGACAACGAGATCAAAATCAGTACCCTGACAATTGCTTGGATTCAAATATTTTCCTTTCAAATTAAAAACTGATAGGTAAGAATCATCGATTGAAATTGACCCATAATCCTTTGCACTTTTGAATTTGTAATACACTACTCTTATTTATTTGCATCATCTCTCTTACAATAACAAATTTATCTTTGATCAACGATCTCACCATCAATGCAGAGAATTAGCACATTTACCTCTCAAAATAAACAGTGAGGTCAAATAGGGAGATGACCTATATATTCACTTCTTTTCACGGTACTAATGAGAGTTTGATATCCTTACCTTATAATCTAACAATTCTTGTCATAAAAAATATATGTGTGCGCGTGTGGACCTCTTTCCTCAGTTTTAATCATCACATTCAGATCCTTCTCTCTTTCATACGGGCTTTTCTCCTTACTGGACTCCTAGAGACTGCAATTGGGTGGCCCACATCATTAGCAAACGGGCCCTCCAAATTAATTTGCACTGCTCAACCTGGCCCAGCTGGCTTGTCCAATCTGTAATTGTTTACCTTTTCATATTTCTGTGTTCCTCGTTCTCGGAGAAAAAAAAATGGTTATGTGAAGCAGTCTTTTAGTTTTTGTTTTTTCACCTAGTTAGACATATCCGGTTGCTTTTGGACAATTAAAAAAAAAAATCTAATTCGACAGTAGGAGAAAAGTTGAAAGAAACGATTTATTTTTATTTTTTACTTTTATATATTAGTTTTAATTAAAATCCTTTGAGATATATATATATATATATATATATGGTACTATAGTAGATGATTTGAATTTCTTAGGTGCAAGAGTCGACTAGGGCTTAGATAACATTGCTCTGGTTAATATATTATGTAGGAATGGTTTGTCAATTATCATGGAGATAGTTTATAACATCAAAAGGTCAAAAAAAAAAAAAAAAAATCACAAAATTTTCATGACCGTTTTGACTTGAAAAGAACCATTTACAAGTATAATAGAAGAAACATCAATACACACTAATTTTGCTAGCGATGCATGCTGTTTTACGATCAAATTTCATCGATACACACTAATTTTGCTAGAGATTGTGGTCTCGCGGTTCCTAATGGGGTGTTACCGCAGATGTTGTGATGATCAGCTCCGATTGTTTGTGAGATAGTACTCTACTCCATCAAGAGAAAAATAAAAAAAGAAACCAATCGAGTTAGACTCAACTAGTTTGAAATTTAACATTTAAATTTAAGTTTCGGGCGCGATTATTACTATTCTGGACTTTAAATAATTTACTTGCCATTGCATTTGAGAGCATGAAAGTGGAGATGAGGATTTCAAATCGGAGAAAAACGATTTTATACTTTGAACCTAAATTTTAAGTCGGGTCATTAAGAAGCTCATTTACCGCCAAGAATTTTAGCCTATTAAAAAAAGGTGAAAAAAAAAAAATTTATGGAAGGGGTAATAAAATAAAGAAGTCCATCCCGAACAAAACTGATAATAATAATAAAATAAAGAAGCCCATTTCAAATCAAATTGGACTCAATTCGTAAGGGCTCGTCAATACAAGCTCACGTAGACTCGCTTTTATAAAATTGTACATACACACTGTTTGGTTCCTCAAGTCACGTTTTAGTAGAGTGTACTTACAAGTAAATTTGATAAGTCAATTAAATGAAAATGTTTCATTGGTAATTTTTTGAACACGAGTTCAACCAAAGTCTAAATCGTACTTGAGTTTTTAAAATGTCACAATTTGGATGCGAGCCGGAGATGAGCCCATATACGAGCGAGACCGAATAGTCTAAAGCTTGACCGGGGGGAGAGAAAGATTTGGCAAACCAACTTCAAGCAAGAATAAAGAGAATAAAGATTTGAATATAACTTGAATATTATTAGATACACTTCGGCTAACAAAGGTTCTCTCCCCTACTATCACGGGGCATTTCATAAACAATAGAACTTGAAATTTGAATACAGAGAGAGTGAAGTGATATTGTACGTATTCTAAATGTGTGTGTTTTCTATATCAACCTCCAATGGCATCAATCTCTTCTCCTATCATTTTTACTCCCTCCACGAGCGTCTTCTCTTGAAATGCCGGTCATCATCACTACTCGAACCATAATCTACAGCACCAAAATCACCACTCTTCCTGTGATGATGATGACGATCTTCGTGACAGATGACATTTTTAGTTGCCCTGTGATGGTCCGACAAGAGCTTTCGTTTCTTGGAGATCAAAGCTTCTTCCTTTGCAAAGCTGATGTTGGAGAAGACCCTAACCGTCTGTTGCTTTCGGTGGTCTGCTCTTCCTATTTTGGCACTTGATTTGGGTGGCGTTGCCGATGGAGGTGGTCTCGCACTTCCTAGCGGGGTGTTACGGCAGCGGCTATAATGATCAGCTCCAGTTGTTTGTGAGATAGTGCTCTACACCATTAAAAAAAAAAAATCAATCGAGTTAGACTCAACTATGTTGAAATTTAACATTTAAATTTAAGTTTCGTGCGCTCACAAACTCATATATAGATTATTACTACTCTGGACTTTAAATAATTTACTTGCCATTGCATTTCAAAGTATGAAAGTGGCAATGAGGATTTCGAATCGGAGAACAACGATTTTCTACTTCAATTCATCTTCAAAACACCAATTCCGTAGTATTAAAATTTGAAATATTTTTATTTAAAATTTTGCTTAAATAATTCGATCAATTTATTGATTTTATGAATATCTACGCAAAAAAGCACTCAGTTTAGTGAAAAGACTGTTGTATATTAGCGAACAAAGAAACCACCCATGGAACACATCAAATCGAAGAATGCAGGGCGATTTTCTTGGCCACACCCAGAGCGTTTGTTTCGTGTTTTTTTTTTTTTTAGTAATGCAAGATTTTGTTATTAAAAGAAAGGTTAACATTATTAGACAATATTCTTGTATCCAAACGTATCTAATAGTCAGTCCTTCAAAACATTTACAACATATAAATCTAAAAACTAGAACATTATGTAGGAGAGAAAATAGGAAAGAATCAAAGTAATTTGTGCAGTAACAGTTGCAATGGAGAGGCCGAAGTGGCATCAACAAACTGATAAAGTTGTGCAATCCTAATTGAGTTGTAAATTCTTGTATATTCAGCCCTACTTAAACTCCATTTCTCTGCAGCTAAATTTGGAAAATAATAATAATAATAAATTGCAGAAGAATTGAACTGGCTGTTATAAAATTACAGGGTCTAAGCTCTTTTCATGGAGCATGAAGCCAGGAAAATAAAAAAAAACAATTTTAAATGAATATTGGAATACATCCAATCCCGAATTAGGAATGATACAATATTCTTCTTCCATTTATTATGGAGGAGTAGGCAAGTATTCTAATGCCGAATTGTCATTCGGCCAAATAGTTCCTGCCAATATTTGCTTCTAACCATGAACCTTTATCTGCTCAGAATACATGTATAAAGAGAAGAGAGGGAAATTTGAGAAACAAAAGGACATACAGGTTTTGATTTCAATGAGGGAACATCAGGATGGCTGCTCACTTCCCTATTGAATTCCCGATCTCTGGACGGATCCCTGAAGAAAGAAGAAGGAATAGAATTTATAATCAAACAAAATGAGTATAACAGTGATTCGCTTGTACAAAGCATAAGATTTTTAAGTTACAAAAAAACTAAAACCATAAATAAGTAACAAGAAGCAAATGGAGCTGGAAACACATGAATAAGAACGCTAAATCCACTTCCACAAAAAATGGAACTACACAAGTTCATGGTTTTTAGTTCAAATATATATAGATATATATTTGAGTTGGTTTTTCCTTTTTCAAATAGACTTGTGTCAACTATAATAACCACCCTAAACCACAGTTGACTTGGCAGTAATCACAGTATGCCGCCAATTACAGACAAAGCTCAGTGCTGTGTCCTATCACTTGGCCTACTATATGAAAGGGAAGGGAAGACAATCTTAAGGTATAACTAATGGTCTAGCGCTCTTTCAAGAAAAGAGAGCACAAATAACTATGATAGAAGGAAAAAAACAATGAAGCATACCTTTGAGGTGGGACAAGAGGCAACATATAACCATGTGCTCCAAATGAATCTGGAGGTAAGACACCCCAGAATGGAACGTCGAAAGGATTAAACCCATAGCCCATAGAATCAAAAGTGCAAGGGGCAACACAGCCTTCCATTCCAGCTTGCATGCCAGTCCAGTATGGATTATAATAGGCGGAATGGTCAAACATCATATAGTTCTCAACAGCAAGATCTTGAGAGGTTCCCCACTGCATCTCCGCAGCTGCAAAACACCAAAGACTTGAATGTAATGATGTCCAATCACCAAGACCAGAAAACCTCACACCATTTGAACGTATTATATTTTCCCAAAAAAAAGACATTCAGAAAGAACCTAACTATTAATGAAGTCTCAAGAGGTATCGAAAAAAATCACAAACGTACCATTAAAAGGTAAGCAAGTTTTCTTCTTTTTCTTTTTATTCCCTGAAAAATGAAAGCAAAATATAAGAAGTTGCATGTGAAAACAGGATTATTTCTTGTAATGTCTCTTGTGCAAAGTCCAATTTGGCATGCAAGTACCACATTGGACTCCCTATGGAAAAACGACATAAAACCAGGGAACAATATGCTTTGAAATTTTCAGTATCTAAGGAACAGATACTTAAAAGCATTTTATGACAAAGCCGGAATCTGTAATCAGCTATAAAGGATCACAAGTATCAAACAAGTTTACCTGCCTCACCGGAAACTGGCTTCTGATGCACTTCCCCGTCAGCCGATGGGGTGCTCCCCTTTGATCCTGATTCCCTCGCAGTAATAGACTCAGGCATGGCTTTAGAAACATCTGTGACTCTTACAGCCCTCCCTTCCTCCAAAATTTGCTGCAGTACACTAACAGTTGTGCTCTTCTCTGCAGTTTCCTTAATATTTGGAGTTTCCTCATTTTGAGTCGGTGACACTTTCTCTGCCTTTGAGGCCGACAGCACAGGGGACGGAATCTTAGGCTGTGGACAGAATGCAGGCTTCATATCTGAAATACAACCTCGAGCACTGCCAGAATTTTCTGTACTGCTGTTATTGGATTCCAAATAACGGTTGATAGTAACCCTGAGTGTTTTATTGGGCAAAAGATCATCTGCAAGTATATTTGTGGTCCCACAGACACACGTTGATTTGGAAATGATGCGATCTCTTATACCTGAAGAGAAAAATCTAGTCATCAGAATTTGACCGAACACTACAAATGAGCCAACTAACAGCAAAGATTACAACAAATAAACAGGTAAGGTAAAAAATCCTCATGGTAGTCAACCATGAATTCACCCGAAGAACAAGAAGAAAAGAATGCAAGGCACCCAGTAAGTTCTAATCAACTATAACGGATAAGACCACTGAAGGATCAAGCACAAACATTTGCATTGCATACATATTTTAGAGATAAACAAGAAACACCATATAGTAACTACTAAATGTGCCATTACAAAAGAGAACATCCAAATAGTTAGAATAAAAATTTAAAACTATAGGGAACTGCAGACATATCAATTTGCACAATCAGAACCCAAAGTATCATTTATGGAAAATATAATAGTATTAAACCTTACATTTATCACAAATTTTCTATATAATAGTATTAAACCTTACATTTATCACAAAAGCTTTTGAAGCAACACTTGCTCGTCAACGCAGCATCTTTCATTACTTCTTTGCACAGTGGACAGTGAAGTTCTGGTGGAAGATTGACAATAGAACGAGAGGAAGGCAGCCCCTCAATTTCTTTTTCAAAAATAACCCTGTACAATATACAATTATTAAAACTTTTCTGAGCCAAAAGCGAGTCTTTATAACAATAAAGAAGAAACAAGACCGGTAGCAAAAGAAAGAGATCAGCTTACTCATTTGGCTTCAAAACAGCAACAGCACCACTTGGTAATGCATATGAACCATCTGGGGTTTCCATTAACATAGACCTTGGAATACCAGTAGGAGGTCTCACTCTTTTGATATCAAAATTAGGATCACCATTGGTAGGGCAGTGCTGAATAAAATGCCCTGAATAAAAAAATAAAAAAATAAAAAATAAAAAATCATTTTTGTTGGACTTCCTAATATGGTATATTTTCACTACATAGTCAAATTCAAAACCAGGAAAAACATTTTCGTACCAGGCTCCTTGCATCTGTGACATATGTAGCCTTGAGGAGGTGTTTTCAGCTCCAACACTCCTTAAAAAGTAAAGCACAATTTTAGTATTGAATGCATAATAATTAACTAAAATATTAACATGAAAGTATAATAGCAAAGATTTATAACTAAACAAAAATCCTAGATTTGATTTAATGGCTGTTCCATCAACACAACCAAAAAAAGAAACCACCTCGAGAAAATCAAAACACCAGTAGAACAGCAAAGGCAATAGAGAAGAACATTGAGAATTATCTTGTTATACATATTACATCATAAATAGAAGATTTACATAAAGAGACATGTAAAAGAAAATCACCAGAACTATGTCCACCCCTCATTCTTCTGCCCATATCCCGTCCAAAACCCCTGCCAGGACCAAAGCCATTGGAAGCTTGACTGAAAAATCAGAAGAAATACAACATGTAAGATTCTAAAGTAGACCGTCATCAATGACAAAAAACATTTCATCACAATATGTGGTACAACAACAAAAGCAAGAAATTAACTCACTGCTGCCAATCCAAGGCAGGAGTATCAACTAAAGCCTTGATCTTTTTGTCCTCATCAGCATCACTAAGAGGGGGAGCATCCTGAAAAGGGTTGTTGCACTGAACAAGCGGAAGAGAGGGAGCATCCTGAATTGGGTTGCTGCACTGAACAAGCGGAAGAGGGGGAGCATCCTGAATTGGGTTGCTGCACTGAACAAGTGGAACTGGCTGGACCTCAGGAATAGTATATAAGTCATCTCCAAAATCATACCATTCTGAATTGTCAGGCTACAAAAACCCAAAAGTGAATAAATTATTATGCTCAGACAACACAAGAAACACTGAATTCCATAAAACAAAGCATCATCCATGCAGATAACCAATATAGCAACTTAGACTTACACATCTTATGACAGATGAATCAGTCCCCACAAAGTTACTCTTTACTGATGGAGCATCCTCAGATTTATTTTCCATCTTTGGCCTGTAGGACACAACACACATTCCAAAATCAGCCAAGCACTCACAATTTGTCTTAAAATGAAGGGGGCAAGACATAGAGGGGGCTTTTTCAATCTTAAAGCACCACCAAAGAGAGAAGAACAAAACAATATTCAACTCACAGTGCATCTTAAATAAAACCCAATTTAACCAATACAAATGAAAAGGAATGAGATGGTACCCTTCTGGTTCAATAACCTTTTTGATAACAATGGGTTTGCAAGGTCTAGGAACTCGACGAATTAATACAGAGGTACGTTCCGGAATCAACAATGCTTCATCAGTAAAATCTGAAATCACAAAATAGATAAATCAATCCATAAAAACTGCCCAAAAGGCATGTTCCCCTAGTCCTAACCAATCAGCAATACAAACCCCTAAACCTTAACTGTACCTTCGCTAGTAAGAGGGTCAGTAACTCTGAGATCAAAATCAGTGCCCCTGAACAATTGCTTGGATTCACATATTTTTGCTTTCAAATTAAAAATTGATATGTAAGCCTCATCGATTGAAATTGAGTCGTAATCTTTTGCACTCTTGAACTTGTAATACACTGCTCTATTTATTTGCATTTTTCGAGAAAAAGAACAAACAATGCCCTAAAATTTAGAGGCCAATAAATTCAATAATCGAGTACAATGTTTGAATTACAATGTTTGAATTACAAATTAAGCGTAACTGAAAGGTCCGATCCTTTCAGTGAGAAATCAATGCGTAGTAAAGATTATATTCACAGATTAAAGAGAATTCAATCTAATAAACTCCGCACGAAGATGAATATCACAACTCACGAATCCGTCCGTAAGCTTCACGAACCAATCTTTCCTTCTTCCTTCCGAAGGCACTTTTCTTTCTTTCTTTCGAAGGCACACAATTCTCTGTGAAAATAGGAATTGGAGGAATTGGGTAGGTATATGGTAGGTATATATAGGAGACCGACTCTGTGTTTAGGGTTAGGGGTCCGCACCAGGAAGATGAATATCTCTCGTTCAGAAGCCGAATCGCAACAATAACCGATTCACGAATCCGTCCGTCAACACGAAGCTTCACGAACCAATCTTGCTTTCTTCCTTCCGAAGACACTTTCTTTCTTCCTTCCGAAGGCACACAAATCTCTGTGAAAATAGGAATGGGAGGAATTGAAGGGATTGGGTAGGTATATATAGGAGACCGAGTCTGTGCTTAGGGTTGGTTACATGTTTGTGTTGCCTTATTCAGGGGTGTAACTAATTTAGGATTACACGATCTAGTGGCGTGTTGTTTTTCTTCAATTGAATTGTACAAAGTAATTTTTTTTTTTTTTTTTTTTTTTTTTTTCTACTTCTTAACATTTTTATTTTTGCAATTATGTATTTGCACTTTATTAATTTAAAAAAAAAAAAATTCAAATGGTGGGGTATTTTTGCACTTATGTATTTGCACTTTATATATGTGTGTGCCCGCGCGTATGACTTGATTTTTATTTGCATTTGTATATGTATTAATTCAACGAGTGGGTATTTTTGCACTTAATGGTGTATGTTCCTGATTAAGTCCCTCTTCCTCCTAGTTTGTTGGGTTTTAAATGGGATTTTTGATTCTTATATTTGTCAACTACATAATTTCTTATACTACCATAAGTCTTAAGACTAGGTTTTGTTAGAAGGTAAAATGTTTTCCTTGTAAAATATTGTAAAAAAAAAATAAATAAATAAATTTTTATTTAAAATGTTCTTTTTATTTTTCAGTGTTTGGCAACTCTCCGTAAAACATTTTCTAAATCAACTTTTGTGTACAATTCACTCTCTCTTTCTTAAGTATTCTTCACCAATAAGACATAATACATTTTCATTAACTCTCTCTCTACCTTCCCTCCATCTTCTTTTCGATACTCTCTCTATACCAAAACATGTTATCGACCCAAATTTATTCCTTGACCAACTCAAATTTGTGACCCTCTTTTTATTTCCTCTTTTTATCTCTCCTCTCTAAATGTATACATATAGAAAGAGAATACTGAATATTAAGATTAGTTATTAGAGGGACATAGGGGTTCATGACTTACGGAAATATTTTTGGTAAATTATTTTTAATCATTTGGAAGTAAAATAATTTATATGAAAATTAATTTTTTAACTATGAAATCTTCCAAACACCCAAAAAAAAATGAGAAAAATAATTTCTGAAAAATATTTTACAAGCCTTAATGCATAACACTTTAGCAAATTACTTTTTAGTAACACTTTAGCAACTTACTTTTTAGTAACTTTTTGTTGCTGGTGTGGCTTGAGATGCTGCCATTGCTTCCTGAGATTTAGCATTTAGCTTGGCATGAGCTGAAAATAGAACTTGTGTAGGACACCAGTCTGGTGCCGGTTTACGTAGCAGTGCTCGTGTGAGTTCATTATCCATCGAGTCTTGACCCACCAAGTCCCATGACCAAACTGGGGATCACAACCTTCACTTTATTGAAATATATCATCTATGGAGAAACTTTTTTAATGCAAATTTAAACACACACATATATATGTAGTATACATTTTGGAGTAAAATTCTAGAAATCCCAAGTTAGCTGCAGAACAAACTAAAAACATAAAAGAATCAATAGACAAATTAATGAATTTTGTTGCACCAATTACTGGTAACCATACAATATACTTCTAAGGCAAGAAGAAAAAAATAGATAAATGAAAAATGGCAACTTTTTTAGGGTTCCCACGCACATTCAATAAATTTTCCCTTTATGAGGCACTTGGTAACGGGTCAAATATAACATGTTCCGACCCTTTCCCTTATCAATGACCAAATAAGACTAAAATGCAATGATCAAATAAGACTAAAATGTGAAAGGCAAATAATTAGACATTTTTTATTTATTTATTTATTTATTCAATTTCCGAAAAAAAAATAAATAAATGACATTAACAGTATAGCAAATGAGAAGCCTCACGCGATCAGGGCTTTGATTGAATGGTACATTAAGATGAAAAAACTTGAGATGTGTTTACAATTTCAACACAATAAACATTTCCAATGATACCAAAAACCCTGTGCTTCTATTTAATTCAAGTATATTTAATATTATAGAAAGCTGCAACAGAACAACTGAACAACAAGAGGAGGCTGTGATCGGCTCTATAGGTGTTAAAACAAAAAAAAAGATAAAAAAAAAAAAATCATACATCGGTCAAGATTAACGATGACACGATCACAACATAAGCTAGAAAGAAGAATATGGCTATCTGAATGAAAAACTTTGGATTTTCCCTCATGTTTGGAGATGTAACCGCCCTGCAAACCAGAAAGCAATTTCGTTATCAAACCTCGGAGAAAATGATACCTATGCATTACACACATACACATATATAGAGAGAGAGGGTCGAATTTGATTGAAATAACTCTGTACCGTTCAGGTAGCAAGAACAAATCAAGTATCAAATCCCTCCCGGCAACCCCAAAAAAAAATAAATAAATAAATAAATGAAGAAGAAAAGAAAAAGTAAAAGAAAGAAACAAATTACCTAGCAATGCGTTGAGATAGCCTTTGGAAGGGCAAGCTCTGAATGAAGACAATGCCCGGTCCTGTTAAAACAGCTGTTACGAGATTGTCACCCTGCAATTTCACATCCACATTGATTGACACCAGGTTTTTTAGAATTGAACTTTTTAACAAAAAGAATGACTAGAAAAAAGATAATAATAACAAAAGAAAAGAAAAAGAATTTGCCCGTGTACTCATTCTCTAAACTCCATGAGTAACTCCACTGGTATATAAAACAGGAGATCACCATCAAAATGGTTTAAATATATGAAGAATAAACCTATAACAACAGTGATCACCAGAAACTGAAGGACTTGCATGGTTTAAATATATGGAGAATAAACCTATGACAACAGTGATCACCAGAAACTGAAGGACTTGCATGGAAGAGAGGAATGTTGAAAGAACATGGATAAAGCATAAACAGATAGAAACCTAATATTTGAGCTTACAATTTTTAAGTAGCAAGAACTGTTGAGTGGATTCCTATGACGGAAAATATTTTAGAGTGGGCAAGGTAACCTAGCGGTATCAGCCTCTTACTTCCCAAAGGAAGGTCGAGGGTTCAAGCCTCCATGGAGGCATGCGTGTGTGAGTACCAACAATTGCAACCCAAGGGTTTTTATGCAACCCAAGTGTGCGCCATATCACTTGGGCGTGGGCTACGTCCCAAGTCACATGATCCTCATAGAAGGGGTATTGCCCTTAGCGAGCTCAAATCGACACTTCGAAAACAAATCTTTCTCCAATCATCAAATTCACTTTTGTAAATCCAAGAACTCATTTTGCGAATCTGCATATTCTAGATGGTTTTCTCCCAACCACGTGTCTCACTTATTACACCAACGAATTTAGATGAGCCTTGTACAAAATAAAACTTGCTAGAAAGTTGTACAAATAGAATTGAAAGTTGAAACTACAACATTGATAGAGCGCTCCTACATCCTTGACATATTCTCAATCACTTTATAATAATTATTTTTGTATCTTTTATCTACTAGGGATGCGTTATAATTACAAGAGCTATCTTTACAAGTTCTTGACATTTATATACTAGTCCAAATAGTGTTAAATGTGTATATATAAAATATATTTATCTATATATTCGATAGACACTTGTTACATTCACTTTGTTTACCTAAGATAAGATGTTGATACTTTTAGTGTAATGTATGGAATATATGAGTCTATGACAAAGGTGGAGCATTTCTATTGGATCAAAACCACATTTGTAGGCTGACAATTTCTCTGGATAGGTCGAACTATTGGTGCAAGAGGGAAAGACTCGTCGCTTCTACATCGAAGATGAACTCTTGTTGACAAGAGGGGGTCGAATCTATGTTCTCGGGCAGGAGATATAAGAAAAGAGTCGCTTAGAGAGTGTGTAGAGTGTTCTAAGTGCTTCAAACTACTTGATTCTTTGGCATTTCGAAGACAGAAAGCTGTCGAATGATGAATAAGATTTGACACCCTATATTCCTTGAAGAAATTAAAATAAACATATATATTTCTATGTCTATGTTTGTTTAAAAATAAAAATACATTATAACATTTATATAGTTTAAAAAATTATTAGAATATGTTATATATCTCCTAACATTAAAAAAGTACATTACTAACCATATCTTGCCAAAATGAAGTGTCTACTATAAAACATAAACCCATTTTCTCACGCTTATTAAGTTTTTATAGTTTTACCAAGCAACGTGCCCTAACAATTGAATGAAAAAATGGAAGTGTTATGATGCGTATTCCTATTATGTAAACATTTATAGTAGCATACAAATGTACAACTCTACCACTCTGAGCAAATTTTTGTTATGCCACTCTCATGCTTCACCCCCACATTTCTCCCCACTCTGTTAGCCTCAAGCTAGGCCTGTTTAGGGGCCATTTTTGTACCTTCAAAAATAAAAATCGAAACTCACAAAATAAAAAGAAAATTTTGACTTTGAACTAACAATGATTCAAGCTAAGGGAATTGCAATATGAGAATTTCCCAATTATTTTTTGTAATAAAAAAGTTCCATCAATTCATAACCCTTTGAACGAAACTTGATGATAGACATGAGGGACCCCACAAACTTTTATAATAAAAAATTACTTGACAAGAACCTCGAGCTTGCCACGTGCCACCTCAAAACTCTCATATTGGATTGATGACTTTGGCATGTCAATCTTAGTTACCTTTATCCTCGCACCACTAGCCTTTGTGCTTCAGGGATCTGGTTCCTCGAAACGGGGAGCCAAGAGAGCCAAAACAAGTACATAAACCTCCACGAACCCATTCTTACCCCAATTATAGCAAAACCTCTTTTCCATCACCAACATCAGAGTCCATCCATTAATTAACCCTTCACTGTACATCAACTCCAATGAAGCTTTCACACCAATTCCTCAACACCTTAAATACCTCTGGACTAAGAAGCACAAGTACAGGCAGACAAAGCGACATGGCAATTCCTAAAGGAGTTGCACTAAAACAGTGGTGATAAACAGAAAATTGCAGTTCTTAACACGTCTTTCTCCTAAGACAAACCCTTTAACACAGTCAAATATTCAACACCTTTATAAGTTTTGTGCAATCTTTGCAGTTCTTAACATGACTCTCTCTTAAGAAAGAACATTGAAAATATGCGTCTCATTTTCATTTGTTTGGCCCATAAATTCTTGATATATATGACGCAGATATGTTCGATATGAAGAGAAAATGTGATATTTTTAGGAAAATACAGGTTCCTGAGAGAAGGTAAACAGAAAAAAGATTGAGGTCACTAGACACAATATAAGGAGGAAAGATGTTTGGTAGTTTCATTATATAGACAAAAAGAATGAAAATCTCTTCTGCTTCTTTTCTCAGTTGCCAGCTGATACAAATACAAAGTTACCAAGATACATAAGTTAGATCATCATTAACATCATCATTGCCTTGATCCCAACTGAATGGGATCTGCCACATTAATATACTTCTTTCACTCTTTAATATTACAACTCATATCTCTTGTCATAACTAATTTCATAAATCATATCACTAGAAATATTTGGAAACTGATCAGAACCTATGCAACTATCAAGGACTGGTGTAAAATGAAGGAAATTTAATCAGTCAAGACTCACTAATTTCAAGTAATATTCAAAATTAGAATCACTAGCTACATATTTTTAACATTAGGATCAAAAAATATATACGGAGCAAATAAGAAAATAACAGTAAGAAAAATGAAATTAAAGAAAGGAAAAAAAAATAACAATAACAGAAACAACTTACCCCGAAGACCACCCTTCTAACAGGACCATTATATTTAACTTGTACATTGACTGTTGCTGACATGGCAACAACGCAAGACATATCAACAGCAAGTACTTCATCCACATCAAGATTTTTCTGTACAACTAATAGCAAATAAAAAGCCCCAATGGAGCTTCCACAATCAGTCCAGCAAGGATTAAAAATATCAATTTACATTTTAACAGAATTTGTATAGCTGAATTAAGATTCATTTGATATCGGAAAAACTCAGGGAGTTCCAAAGAAGACATTCTTAATTTTAGCATAAACTGCAATAAAAATCCTATTTTTAGAAGTCTATAAGATCCCGCATGAACTGAATTAAAAAAACACTGCAGAAACACTTTGGATGGCAGATCATACTCCATAGAGGATGAATATCCTATGATTAGCTAGAAAGCAAAAAGCAAAGCATTGCCATTACCAACTTTTCCTTTTCTTTCCCTTTCGGGCAACTTCTCATAATATATTATGCAAATATTATATTACAAGAATAAAAGAGTAGATTGTCCCTTTGTGTCCCCGGATCTGTGTAGGTGGAAGTCAACTTCGCGGAAGATTAATTGTTAGGATAGTACTATTTCCAAAACATCTTATGATGTTCCTAGAGAAATTTAAAGCATATCTGCATGTCAATTATTCAGGACGTACCAAAATATGCTGTGGCTGTAACATTACCTACTTGAAAAATCTTGAGGTTCGTCACCACAAAATGTTTTTAGTGCAGGTCTAAGTAATACCTATTCGTTAATGAATAAATAAATAAAAAGTAGAGAGCTGACTGAGAATAATTGGTAGAGAACAGTGGCAGCAGCATTTTAAAGTGTATAGAAGGTGTGGCGAGCATGGCTCTAAGGCTCAAGGTTTAATTTGGCACGTGCTAGATGAAGTAAGGTCCACTTGGAGTCCTGCATAATTGGGGAAATTTGGTCAAATTGCATAATTATGGGCTTGCATCAATTATGATCAAATTGCATCAGTCAGTAGTAATTACTTTTATTATGCTAGAGTCAAATATTGATTACCTCACCAATGGGTTAGTGGCCTAGCGGTATCAAACCCCTACTTCCCAAAGGGAGGTCGTGGGTTCAAGCCTCGGCAAAGGCATGTGTGTGTGAGTACCAACTAAGAAAATATATATATATATATATATATATATATTGATTACCTCAATTACAGGATGGTTACTTTTATTATATTATAGAGTCAACTTTTAATTACCACAATTATGGGGTAATCTCAAGGTCATAAGATGCTATAAGAAGGGTATGATGTAAACTTCGTGAGGCAGTGAATGAATGAATAAAAAATATCCTTGAGATTTCTTTGTGAGTGATTCATAAATTCTGAGGGTGTGAGGCCTTCTCTAGGTGTGATACCTAGGCCCTGTTGGAGTGATTCCAATAGGTAGCTCAATTCTATTTCTTTTCCCTTTGCTTTTCTACAATTTTACTATCAAACCTCCAAATTTCACCCCTAGTTCTTTTAACTTTCAGCCTTTGAATTCCATATGTCTTTATCTATTTAAGGCTGCTCTTGTATTCTACATCAATAATCCACTGAAAAATAAAAGTATCTGACTTTAATAGAGTAACACTCATGTAGACATGAGATTTCCTTGTTTTTCACCTTACGCATGAAGATCCTTCACAAAAGAAGTGTAAATGTCCCAAGATTTGAAGACAGATCAAATTCTCGGTCTCTTTAGTTTGCATCTTAAGATTCTTAACAATTTTTGTTATAGATCGAAATAGAACTTCCTAACAAAATGATCAACGGAAAGAAAGAAATCTAGCAAACAACAGAATTAAGACTTTAGGTTAAAGTAATAAATAATACATCCATGTGCTAGCTCTTTGAATCCAGATACTATGGCATGCCTCAAAAAACTAATGCACCATGTTAGACAGAATTAAGTTTTCACTTACTTTGGGATTACATTCATTATTAATTAAGGGTTTGCTTCCTATAAATATATTGCAAAATAAATCCAAAAAGTTAATAAATAAGGCCCAGCATTACTAAACAAGCACAACCTCTGCTCACACAAGACACGTCACATAGTAAAACCCATAACTCAAAAGGCCAGGTCATGTTTTGTCCTAGTTGCATTCCCCTAAATATTTAGGCAAAACCTAACCTCTTGAAATCCAACATAAGTGCTTTATGAGACTGATAGTGACTGAGAGAAGCATACCAGATCCACCAGCAGCTATGAATGCAAGCCCTTGGCCAGATATCTTCTGCCTCAAATATCCCTGCAAATAACATCAGCATGCCCATCAAAGTGATAAGCAGTGAGGTAAGTATGCATAATCAAAAGAAGTGCTAGAAATTAAGCAAAAAGACAGCAAGTTAAAAGCAGATCCATTATCTCACTTCAGCACCAGCAACAACATTACGTGCCCTCTGATCAACTGTATTATTGACTTTCACATCATTGATAGAGCAAAGGAATGCATCTGGCTACAAAATAATATTAACAGAGTAACATAAGTATCCAGTAAAACCAAAGGCATTGTAGCCTAATGGTACTTCCTCACCTTCCAAAGTAGAAGGTCGAGGGTTCAAGTCCCCAAAGGGACAAAGTGGGTGTGTGAGCGTGTTTCTTGCCAATAAAAAATAAAAATAAAAAGGTATCCAGCAGACTATGATGAAAAAAATTAAGAGAGACGAGATGAATACAGCATTTCCAGAAGACATCCTATATTGCACACTGCAACATGCCAGGGTATGGGAAAAGGAATTCAGATTTGTGTGTGTGTGTGTGTTTTTTTGTGTGTGTGTTTTTTTGTGTGTGTGTGTGTGGGGGGGGGGGGAACAATAGTGCAAATAGACCAAAAATAAGCAATACCTGGCATAAAATCTCACCGCCAAACATTGCCAAATCAATCTACAAAAAAAAAATTTGTCAAGCAGACGTATATAAGGATAATGGCTAGTAATATTCATTGTAAGCGTAGGATCACAATTCCCGGGTAACATGTAAACTTAGAATAAACAAGATAAATGCCCTATGTACTGAAATTTGGCATGAAACGAACCGGGAGAATTCTTGCAAGGGAAGGTGCCGCAATGCCGACAAAACCATCACTTGAACCAGTATTGAGAAGAACTATGCTACTCAGACTCTTGCCGAAAAGCCACTGCCACATACCGGCTTCATTTTCAGGAACATAAACATTTTCCATCTGGACAGACCCAGACATGTAGCACATGGAACCTACATATCATTCAAACAACAGTCACCACATGATTATCTTGAAAACAGAAAATTTTATAATGGTTTATAGTGTAAAAATCCCAAATAAGATATCAGTTAGTAGAACAACAAATACGGTCTATTCAAAACTTGTGTTCTAATGTGTCAAAGTGTCCTGTGTTGTTCAAGTACAATCATCGAATACAAGGCAGACACAGATTTGCGAAGAACAATCAATAATACAGAATAAACAATTTGATACATAGTGTGGACCAGACAAGACGAATAGCTGAAAGAAACCAATAAATGTTATCCAAAAGACCAAATATAATTTTCATGTTATTGGCAGTATAGCATTCCTCAATCCCATTTGATATTTTAATCTCTTTGTACAAGACAATGAAAACTCATGCCACATATAGTGCGCCATTGGCATCAATAACTAAACTAAAACTTTGAGGCATTTAGATATTTTTTTTTTTTTTCTTTTTTAAAAAAGGGACCATGTCACTATTGCGCAGATGTGCTTGCAACTCAAAACTGAAAATTAACACAGGATAACATCATGCAAACTGTGAAAAAATTAATTCCAGGTAACTTACCAGGCTTAGCAATAATCTTTTCCTGTGGCTTCAACATAATCTGATAATGTGATCAAATTTGTTAAGAGAAAAAAAAAAACTTCCAAATAAAAGGCAAGACTTTATCTTCCAAATATATATAAAAAATAAAAAATAAAAAAAACTTATGGGGATAATTTTATTATAAATACCTGAACTATCTGAGCTTCACCACCCAAAATCTGAAAAGGTGTTACAGCATCTTGTGGACTCTACAATCCATTATCCCCATGATATTAGCAAGGGCACATAAAAATAATCAAGGACGAAAAAACTTACTAGCTCTTTTTATAATTCTTTTACAAAGAAAAAATAAACTTCAAGAAAATCAACCAAAAATAGGAAAATTTTGTATGGAGACTTTCTACAGACTACAAAATGTATAATTGGTGAGCCTAAACCTCAGGTCAATTATGTGAGGCATATTGTCAATCACTGTAGCAACAACTAGCTCTTACAACATTCATTATTGCATTTCATATTAAAATGTGAATAATTTTTTTCCATCTTCATTATGAAGTGAGCGCGAGAAAAATATAATTTTTAAGATGAATCATCAAGACAAAAGATTGCATATTGATTTGTATTAGTCCTAACTAAATTTTCTATATACATCAACATATATAACTATATATGTGTATATAAGCCAGATAGTATTCTAAATTCATTATGGTGAGAATTCAAACTCGTGGTGGAAGTGCGAAGAACCTTAGTGGAACTTTTTAGTGGGACATAAGGAGAATGACCACAGTTATAGCACTTTTAAACATTTTACTAGGATATCAGTCTGCTACACTACTCCAGCTTCAGTTCTGTTTCACTTTAAGCACCAATACTTCATCTAAAAATAATAAATTAAATACATGAATTAATTATATTCATCAATGAAGTCAACTTATTCATTGCACGATTTTTATGATAGGATTGCTCTTTTAGAACAACACTTCAGAATAACCTATTTATAGTTCACTCTACTGGAACTAAATATACTTTTGCTCAGTAGCCATCCTACTCTATTCTAGTTCTCTTTTTCATCAATACAATTTCAAACAACTTTCAAAACTTTTTCTAGATCTCTTTTTCATCAATACAATTTCAAACAACTTTTAAAAATATGGAGAAATACTTTAAACGCCAAAGACCTAAAAATTAGTATAACTAAAACATAATATGTGGAATGTAAATTTGATAAAGTAGTAGAAGATGACAATATAAATATTACACTCAAGATTATATAGTTACTCAAAATAACTATTTTCATTATTTAGGGTCAATATATTAAAAGAGACAATAGAGTGGTTATTAGATTAGTTATATTTGATGGAGTAAAGTGTTGGGGTTGAAAAAGAAACAACAAAAGCAATCATGCAGCGGAAATGGAGAATGTTACTATGAATGATGGGAATGACTAGAAGAGATGAGATTAATAATAAATGAGTGAGGAAAAAAACTACGAATAACACATGTTAATGATAAAATTAGAGGAAGTAGAGGAGGAAGAGTTGCTTGCTACAAAGGTAAGCGACATAGGGCCAACCAAAACTTATGGGATGAAGTAATTCAAAATGATTTTAAAATTTTTTTAATATTAGAGGAGAATGGTTGCATAACAGGAAATAATGGAAAAACCAGAATTCATATGGCTGCCGCTGATCCATCCATACACACACACCCACACCCACACACACACACCAAAAAAAATGAGATATTTGAGAGAATTGTGGATAATGCCTCAATGGCTAGTTTCAAATGGTACAAAATTACAATTCTACCCCATTTTGCTCTAAAAGAAGAATCTATATGGGTCCTCACCATGTAAAGATGAATTTCATGAATTATTTTAAATTTGTCAGTAATTTTGTCCACAAATTATAAACAATGCAGTGAAATGTAATTAATGTTGTTTAAAATTTATTTGACAAATACGGATATAGCCCTAACTTTCACAATTGCGTGCATGGAATCAATGTATTTCAATTTTATCTTCGCATTGGAATCAATTTTCATATTTCCCACTCACGAAATAGTAAATATCTTTCCAATTTCCATATTTTACTCATTGCAAGAATAGCTCTCCATATTTTTCTTTTCTTTTTTTTAAGAAAAATATATATTTATGAAATCTAGAAAAATCTAACAATATATCTCAGTACTTCGACACCTTATATATATATATATATATATATATATATATATATATTAATTTTAGAACATCTCTTATTGTCTTTTCTCTTAACTATTTCATGCCTAAACAAAATATCTCCTCCTCCCCATTTTGTACTCTCTTTTCTTTGCAATAAATTTTAATTTCTCATTAAAAAGTCATTATTCAGTGTTGATCTTATTAATTCAAGATGTTTTGATAGGAGGAATGGAGTTGAGGCCACAAAAGTGGTTGCCCTCAAGACCACTAAAAGGCCATGCTTATTTTGACTTTTAAGTAGATGATTCAGTACACAAGTAATTAATTGAGCTTCACTCAAAAAAAAAAAGGGGAAAAAAAAGAAAGCAACTGTTGTTTTTTGAAGGTTCATGTGCAAATTGTTGTGTGTTTGTCCACGCACACCTCAAACCTTCAACTATTACTGATTAATCCTTGCTATCCCTCCATAAGCCTGCAAAGTAACAATGCCTTACATTCCACACAAGCCCATATTTTCCACAAACTATTGCGGAAAACGCTTGTAATGACATAAGAAATTGGGTTACCTAAATTACAATTGCAATGTTATATCGTCATATCAGCTAAGTGGAATTTGTGTTCTCTTGCGTCCCAACAGCTAAATAAAAACACATATATATGTATACATACATATGAATTTTAGTTCCTCTTTTCTCCAAATTTAATACATAAAGATACATACAAACATGCATATACTCATATATATATATATATATATATATATATATATATATATATATATATATATATATATCAAAATACGTGCATATATATGATAATGAAGATGAAACTGTGCGGATTAATCACTAAAATCAAACAAAAAAAACCTTGAAATTGAAAGCAAATTCGAATTGTAGTACCTGATAAACGTATGGTTGGAAAGGTGTAGAAAAGAAAGGAGCGGCCATGGTGTAAAGAGAGAATCAATTGGAACGGAGATCGAAGAACAATGATTTCAAGACATCAGAGAGATCTGAGCTCGATAATTTCAGATCGCAGGACTACGAAATTCAAATTAGTCAGGAATTGTCGAATGGTTTTGTTTTTATTTTACAAGGGTTTTGGTTCTCCTGATTCAATTGAATTCCAAAAATGCCTTTGATTGCATTGTTTAATTTCTTTTAAGCCTCTGCTGCTTTTTAGCTACAGCATATACTGTGTTGCCATTTCTAAATGGCAATATCGTCATTTGAGAAATAAAAAGTTGCAATTATATGCTGTGCCGGTTAGCTAACGAGTACGGGGCAGCATTGCGCTGAGTGGCGTTATGTTATTGATGTGGCGTTATGTTATTGGATAACACGTTGCCCTCTACGTGGCTAAAGCTTTGAAAATTACTTACTTAGTTCGTTGCCACGACGTCGTATGACTCATATCTTTATCGATATTGTTACACAAGTGGACCGCGGTAATAAAAAATAAAATGATAATGCTGTTTAAAAAAAAAAATCAAATCCAGAATGTTAGTTGAGGTATTTCTCTCTCTTTGATGTATTGAAATCTTCGATTAAACAGTTAGGTTTAAGAATTATTAATTTGTTTATAATTTTAGTTTAACTATTCAGTAATTGTTTAAATTTGATTTGTTCATTTTGATTTACTTTTTAGAACCAAATAAGCTTTTAAAAAGAAAATTAATTTATACACTTCTTACCTCTCTTTTTTGCGGTGGCTATTGCGCCTTGTCTAGTTTACGGTTTAGAGTTTTTGTGGCGGAATTGAGGCGGGTTTGGTTAAACTCTACTTTAAAACGGGTTTGTAATTATTATACCATTCTCGCTCTTACTTCAAAACAAATTTGGAATTGTTATACCATCCCGCCTTTATTTCAGTAAATAAAATACCGGTATTCTGTTTGATTGAGGGGTGCGGTGGGAGCGGGTCGAGTTATGTCACTTTTATTATGTAGGAAAAAATATATATATAGCTTAAAGTGCTCAAATTGGATAGATAAAAAAGTTGATTCAACTTTTAAATTACTAAATAGTAAATATTAATATATTAATAGACACTTCCAACAACAAAGTAATTAGAGTTTTAAAAATAGTCCAGAGAATGGTCCAAGCCCAGTCACTGATAGAGAGGTTCTCTCCCCATGTGGTTCCTATTTATAATGGGGTCAAGGTGAAAGGGACTCTCATTCGATGGAGCTTCTCTTTCTTATTCTTAAGCAAGTCTCCCAGAGCGAATTACATAATAAAAATTCTGTTTGAAAATTTAGTAGATCACACGTATTAGTTAAAGTTTTATGCATTCTTTCTTTTGATCAAATTATAGTAATAATTTTGACAGTTTCTTATAATTTGATTTTATGGTATTTTGAGCTGATTTTTTTTTATTAGATCACATTTATATTGATACATTATTTTCTTTACTGAAAATATGTTAATTCAAAAGAGACCTCGTGAGGAGGGGAAGGTGTCTTCTGTTGAATGGAGGGATAGTAGAAAAGATGGATGAAATAACATATTTGTTTTGTTTGGACAGGGAATGAGAGATTTTATATATATTTTTAGTACCATACAAGTGATTTTTAAAGTAAACAAAGACTAAAATTGATATTACATATTTGTAGAGTAACTTTTTTTCCCTTCTTCTGTAGGGATGGTAACGGAACGGAGTTGGCTAAATCCTACTATGTTTCGTTAGAAAATTCGTCATACCAATTTTATCCTTACTCCGAGACGGGTTTTTAATTGGTGTATCATCCCTGATCCTACTTCGACAGACAAAGTACTGATTACGGCTCGCTTATTCGGTTTAATTGTGAAGGAAGCGTGAGTTATGCTACTTTTATTATGTAGTAAAAAAAAAAAACTAACCCTGTGTTCAAATTGGGATGATAAAAAAATTAGTCCCACTTTTAAATTACTAAGTAGTGAATATTAATATATTAATTGACATAACGAAAGTTTTAAAAATATTAAATATATATATTTTTATATATATAAATTTTTTAAAAATACATATATATATATATATATAACCGGAGCGAGGGTGATGGCGGGGCCTCCATTAAAAGGGGACGAAAACGCGCCCAGTCACTGCCATTCCTATTCTACTCTTTCCCCATTTTGGAAGAAAAAAAATATTTTCAAAAAACATGGGTCAGGAGGAATGCTCCATCCCTCTCTTTTTTTCCTTCCTTAGAAGTAAACGTATCATTCCTCAAATCATTCATCTCTTCCATCTTTCCCTAAATCATTCCTTCCGATCAAATATAAATATAAGTATTAAATTGCCTTTTTACTTTTATAACTAGTTTGAGTCTTTTGACAGTGCATGCCCTATTGGTAGTTGACTAATTGATTGGCTCTAAAATCTTCCACAAATCTAAAGTTGAATTTCAACTTGGTGAAGATTGTTAGCACAACAACTTCCCAGCTCGTAAGTCTGTAAAATATGTTATTTGTTAATTTTTACTTACCCAAAAAAATAAAGAAATCTTTGTGAAAATTACTTACCAAATAGAAAATTTTAAATTGACTAATATACTTTCCCCATATTAAAATATGTTATTTGTTAATTTATTATACTTACCAAAAAAAATAAAAAATCTTTGTGAAAATTACTTATCAAAAAGAAATTCTAAAATTGACTAATATATGTACACATATTAGGTGTTTCTTCACCGGTTTAAAGAAAAATGAAGAGTCTTATCCCACCTTCATTGACTAGTATCTTGTTTTCAAGATTTCATCATTCGCGGATTCACCTTAGCTGCATGAAAATTTCATTAAAGGTTTTCATATATATATATATATTAAGATAATACTTTCCTCCTGACATTAATGTGTCATAATATCATTACACCTATTTTTACATTTTGAGAAAAAATAAATAATTTTGTCGTTAATGTGTCATAATATCATTACACCTATTTTTACATTTTGAGAAAAAATGAATAATTTTGTCGTCTTCTAAGTGGGTGTCACTCTCAAACTCCCGTTGCTTCCCTTCCTGTACACTCTCACTCCCGTTTTTATTCCGTGTGACTTATAGTGCACCTGCTTTTTATATGACCTAGGCCTTACTGATGAAATAAAAATAAAAATAAAAAAGGCATGTTTGCACTTATATGGAATGGAAAACAGAAAATGGAAATAGTTTCGAAACACGCCCAAAATATACAATAGCAATAGTTAGTCGTTAGCGTGAGCTGTTTGTTTCCCTCCGTACGACCCTTTTTGTTAAGTCTCGAAAGCGCCTTTTTGTTATTCTTTTTGTTATTTTGTCCCACACATTCTTCCACTTTTCTCTCTCTTTCTCTCTCGTCGATCTTCACACATTTTCCGTCAAAGTTCGCCTAGAAAATCTGTTTGCAATTCTTACACTTCTAATCTTGCTCGGAACTTATTCCGACGTCGTTTTTTTCCGGTCTCTCTTTACGCTTCCTCCATCAAAGGTATAGTGTTTTCATTGGGCATTCAATTATTATTTTGTGATTGAAATTATGTATTTGTTAATTTATTTTATTTATCTGATTATAAAGATTCACACACACATGTATACATGTTTCTCCTTCATTTTTTCAAATTTCTATTTGATTTGTTGTCGTACAATTTGAATTGAATGTATAGAAATTTGTCTTAATTGTTAATTGTGTTTCTATTCCATAACTCAGCTACTTGATCATTCTCCCTCTAATTTCATGATATTAGATTGAATATGGCATCTTTCGTAATTTATTGATATTTATATGTATAACTAAATGCTGTGTTTGATGTCCTAGAAAAAGTAAGAAAATGGACTAACTTAGAATTTTTTTGTTGTTGTTGTTCTAGACACATAAATAAAAACCTCTACCATGCTGTGCCTAATGCTTTTATTTGGCGTAGTTGAGCTGAGTTTTTGTTTTTGTTTTTTTCTAAATTTTGTTGTGGTTAATATCAAAATTCACCTATAAAAATAAAAAATAAAAAATAAAAAAATCACTTATCAGCACTTTCCTCATCAACAAAAACGATTAATAATTCATGCATACAAGTTATAAATTTGTTCTTATTTTTCAATGAGCTAGTCTTTTGGTGATGTGTTCTGTTCTTACTTCTTATGTTCTCAGAGTTAATGATCTCCCATAATAGAAGTGTCTGATGTGTGCAGAACTTTAATTACTTCTTTTTTAAAAAAATAATAATTCGAATGCACAAGCATAAACACACTCCCCTTAACCCACACCTGTTATATACACAAACAAATCCTTTAACATTTATATATTTATACATCATTGCGTTTTTCTTTTTCTTTTTCTTTTTCTTTTTTTTTTTTTTTTTTTTTTTTTTTTTTTTTTTTTTTCCTTTTGGGACATCCTTCAATTTCTTATTAATTTTCTTTTTATGTCCGAAGACTCAGAAGCTACAGAACAGAGAACTTCTCTTAGACAGAAATCAAATTTTGGCTGATTGAGTATGGAAATGTGTGGCTTGTTGGTGTCCGTAAGCAACCAAGTGGAGTGAATTTTTGAACATTTGGAGCTTAGTTTCTCCTGGGGAAATATGTACATTGGTTTTTCATGCTTACAACTCTTGGACTTGCATATTAGTTTTTTGATTGGCGAAGTTCAAATATTCTAGTACAAGCAAATTCCGGTGGTGGTAGATGAATAAGTTGTTACGGGTCATACTTGTTTTCCTGATGTTCAGACTTGATTGGAGAAAGTTTTTTTTTGCTGGTGCTGTAATTACACTAGTTGTGGTTGTAATTCAAATTCATTCACTTCCTAATCTGCTGACCGTATGGATGCTGTCCCCAGCAGCAACATTCTCTTCATATGAGCCCTTGAATAGTACCATGCATTTGGGTGAAAACCCTTCCTCGGGAATGGTTCAACAGTTTGAGCCCATTCTGGTTTCCCTCAGCATTGCTAAAAATAAGTCTGCTGAAGTAAAACAAGATGATGAAAAGAATGATGTGCCAAGGGCTGTAGTTACTCCTCTCGGTCCTCCTCCTCCTAGTAGAACCTTGCCCACTCGCTTGCTGGTACAATCTCAAATTTCTAATCATAATATATGAAGCTTTTACCTCTATGGTCTTGCTAACATTTCCTAAAAAATATTGTTAATTTTTTAGAAAGACATAAGGTCATTGAACCCAGAAGAGGCACTTGTTTATGCTAAAAAAGAGATCCTGAATGCCTCAAATGTCGCTGATGATCCAGATCTCTATGCCCCTTTGTTCCGGAATGTTTCAGCCTTTAAAAGGTACATACCATGGAACTTCTATAAAATGTTACTTTGTCATTGTAATAGTAAGACATAATCTTATGAAAGCTTCATGTTTAGTTTCTATGATTCATTCAATATATTATTGTATACCCTTTTTTTTTTTTTGGTGTGTATGGGTGGGTAAATTATTATAATTGTATATACTGCTTACAAAAAAAAAAAAACTTGAACTAACATTGGAGTGTATACATGCTTTAGACTGTGAACTGTGATGTTTTAAAGATGTGCATGGGGAAGTTTTTGGTTATTGGACTGGCAAAAGAATATATAATTTACTATATGGTGCATAATTTTTTGAAAAACTATTTGCATAAACATTATGTTTAAAACAATAACTATGTCCAAATTCAGGAGCTACGAGTTAATGGAACTCATACTCAAAGTTTACATTTACAAAGATGGAAGGAGACCTATTTTCCATTTCCCCTATCTCCGTGGAATTTATTCGTCAGAAGGATGGTTCATGAAGTTCATGAAGGAAAGTGAGCAGTTTGTGACGACGGACCCAGAAAAGGCTCACTTATTCTATTTGCCATATAGTGTGCGCCAGATGAAGAGGGTTCTTTACGTGCCTGAAGCACGTAACATTAAACCACTAGCAATCTTCCTCAGGGACTATGTAAACATGCTTGCCACAAAGTATCCTTTCTGGAACCGTACTCATGGATCGGATCATTTTCTAGTTGCTTGCCATGATTGGGTATGTTAATTTTATTAGACCTGCATCTCGTCTGTTGAAATGCTTTGATGTGTCAGTTTGCTTTTAGTTACATTTAAGAATCAAGGATAAATCACAATGCACGGTGCACTCTTAACATTGAAATTTTCTCTGGCCTGAAGTGAGTAACTTGAATAATAAAAGATGCTATAATAATTTGTAGTTCACATATTTCCTTCGACATTTTGGGATCAGTTAGAAGGAGTTTTAAACATGCTTTTGAAGGCATAATTGTTCATATGGTGTAGATTTAGAGGTCCAATCCTTCTACTCATGACAGGCCAGTTGGTATACTCTCTTGACCAGGTTGTCATAACCAGTACTAAAGACGTTGAATTTCTTTCTATTTCATTTCCATTGACTACATTCTTATTAATTTAATTTCTCCCCTTGGCTAGCTATTGAATAGACCATTGCTTGGTGCAATGGTAAAAGTTTAGATTGAAAAGTGCAATGGTATAGTTTCGAGTATGAGTATAATGTCAAAATTAGGTTTGTCTCAAGTCATCCTCAAAGCACTTTGTATGGGCAAGACCAACACTGGGTAATGACCTTTTATTTTCTTTTCTTTTTTATTAATCTTGTCGGAGTTCTTGCATTGTGAATTATTTCAGCACACAATATGTAATAGAATAGTGGCCAAAACTGCAGACTTCCATTTTTCTAGAAATTGTCCTCTGAAAAAGTTGAAATCTTTAGTGTCAGTTAGAGTTGCTAATGAAGCAAACTGCTAAGGACATGCATTAACCAAAATTGCTGCATGTCAAAATTCAAGATTTGAATAAAGAGCTACTGCATCAGCTGTATTCTTAGGCTCTGTGAGAGGCAACACTCTTATAAGATGTCGTCTAACTTAGCTGGATCCGAACAAGATGGAATTACAAACTACTAGCCAACCCCAAATGGTTGGGATAAGGCTTTGTTGAGTTGAGTTGCCATCTATCTCAGCCAGTCAGCTGGTGAAGTATGAGATGGGGTGTGGTCGTTCCACATATATAGGAAGACATGTTTCACATAACAGACAGATGAGTAACAACTAAGAGTTGCTCTCATTGTATGTGCAGAGAGAGACGGGGAAAGATTTAATCAATCCTATTTTGGAATTTCAGCTCCACCCTCTATTTCCTTATTAAATTGCAGTTTGTTCAAATAACTCCCATCCTCTCTTACCTAACTTTTGTCTGATTTTTTTTTTTTACTTTTTATAGGGCTCGTACACAGTGACTGAGCATAAAGAGCTAAGCACAAATACCATAAAAGTTCTCTGCAATGCAGATGTGTCCGAGAAAATTTTTGTCGCTGGAAAGGATGTTTCCCTAGCACAAACCACCATAAGGCATCCCAGAAGGCCTCTGCATGGTCTTGGTGGAAGAAGAGTGTCACAGCGCCCAATTCTCGCCTTCTTTGCTGGAAAGATGCATGGTAGGGTCCGTCCCAAACTTCTCAAGTACTGGCGTGGCAAAGATAAAGATATGTGGATTTCTGGGCCTCTACCCAGTAAAGTCCCCAGAAAAATGTCTTATGCTCAACAAATGAAATCAAGTAAATATTGCATTTGCCCAATGGGTTATGAAGTAAATAGCCCCAGGATTGTGGAGGCTATATATTTTGAATGTGTCCCAGTGATTATAGCTGACAACTTTGTCCCTCCATTAAATGAAGTGCTAGATTGGGACGCATTGTCTGTGACTGTGGCCGAGCAGGATATACCCAAACTGAAGGAGATTTTATTGGCTATCCCTATGAAACGATACCTTACCATGAAAAATAATGTGAAGATGGTGCAGAAGCATTTCCTTTGGAACCCAAGTCCAATCAGATATGATTTGTTCCACATGGTTTTGCATTCAATTTGGTATAGCAGGCTGAGCCAGATTGAAGTACCACAATCATCATAAACTCTTGGGATTCTTTTAGGTGGGTTCTAGTACATGAAGTATAGCTAAATTTGAATGTGGACCTGGTAGAATTAGTCTAACTCGCAACAGCTCGTGCTTATTCCAAGACTTGAGTGGCATACCTCTTGTGATTATGGAGGAATGAAACAACAGCTGTTGAACTGGGTTCTGGTTTGCTGTTCAGAATCGTAGTACATTGAGCTGAAAACAGGGTTGAATATTTGGTGGGAAAATTGTGACATCTAGAACGAGGAATGGAACATGCAAATCATGCAATGGAGGTACTGCATTATTGGTAGTCTGAACTGCTACTGTTAATGTTGTTTTGCCACATGATTACTTAATATAGTCAGCTTCGACCCCACTTGGCTTCAAAAAATGTGTACTAATAGATTCTCTTTGCTTGTGCTGTGACCAACCAAAGGATCCATCAGGGTGACAAAGGAGCTGCTGCCACTTTACCGATTAAGCATATCTGAATAATTTACCGCGTTTCTGTGAAATGACAGCAGCATTTTTGCACTATGATGCGTTATTACCATAAACTAGATGAAACTGTAGAAAAGATACTCCTACGATGAGAATTATATCTATCGTTTGCCTTACACAATGATTAGACTGAAGCAAAATAGTAAGAAAGTGACAAGGAAAAATGCTGTTAGTCCCCAGGAAGATTAACATTTCATGATTCACCATTTATCCCACTCCCCCCCTATGTTTAGCTTGCGAGATCTTAGGTTTTAAATTTTTTTTCTAATCGCAGGTAGAATGAGAAGTTCTGTAATTTTTATAATGCCCCCGAGATGACCGGGCAGTTCAACAAATCCAATTGTTTTGTATTTTAATAGAGACACAAATGAAGGTTCAATGTACCAGATTTCTTTATCTTGGCTGTCTCTAGAAGGTGAGTATAGCCAAGAATACAGAATTGGAGTGATTTCTTCGGAATCTATAACATGAACACTTTGGTGTTCATTACCATCGTATGATTTTAATGGCGGTCTTTTCATAGAGACAAATCCAGCTGTTTTTTCCTTTATTTCGTGACTTCGATGTTGACTTGGTAATGGAGTCAACTACGTTGCTCTTGTTGTCAATAAAGTGTGCCATTTTACACAGACTCTGCTCAGTTCTTAGTGGACTCAATTATTATCTTTGGCCATGTTAAATCAAAGTTGTTCTTAGGCATTTTGTTGTATATGGAAGCTTGGTCCAGTACGACCTTGGTTGTAAATGCTGCTTAGTTTTCGAACTATAATTGTGCCAAGAAATTGATGTCTATGTACCAATACTAAAAGATTTAGTTGTTTTAGGCCTTTTATCTTGGTATTTGGCAATCCATGATTGTTTAACTAAAGAACATATATATCCACAAGCACACTGTTAAAATTCTGCACCAATTAAAAAAAATTCAACGGCAGAAACTTTACTATATATTATCCAGACCTCCATTTTTTTTATCTGAAAGCCATGGATCCTCATCGAGTTCAAGAAATTTATTCACCCACTCTAACCCGTAGGTGCCTTCACTCGAGAAATCAAAGAATTCATTTGCATTGAAGCTAGGATCCATGTATCCGCTTCCATCAATGCCTTCTTTGTCGGCCTCGTGGATGGCCACAGTTTTTTGAGGCGTAGTCTCTTGTGCCGTTGAAGTTGCTGCTGTTTTTTCTTTATGTTTCATTTTCTTGCTCAAATGTGAATTCCAGTAATTCTTGATTTCATTATCAGTTCGTCCTGGAAGTCTCCCAGCAATCAATGACCACCTATAAAAAAAAAAAAAAAAAAAAAAAAAAAAAAAAAAAAAAATAGAACACATAAGATTAAATATGTCAATTTAATCATCTTAATTTTCTTTTGAATCATTAAGTAGAAGCAAATGAACTAATGTTGTCGTTTCCATAATGCTCATAGGTTGAGACAACTGTATTTAAACTACATTATGGTTTTTGTCACTTTGTATTATCACTAACCTGTTCCCAAGTAGCTTATGAAGCCTAAGTATCAAGTCCTCTTCTGCATCAGATATGTTGCCTCTCTTGATGTTTGGTCTCAGATAATTCAACCACCTCAATCTACAACTCTTCCCGCATCTGTTCAAGCCTGCAAGAACACGAATCAAAATTTAGAAAAATGCGGTTCATGAATTGTGTTAGAGCATAAAACTAGGATACATTACCTGATTTAATTGCTACTGTTTTCCACTTCTTTGCACCATGGATTTCTATATACTGGGCTAGTTTTTGATCTTCCTCAGCTGTCCACGCCCCTTTGTTAAAGACATTTTTACTACTACTAGATCCTTCGTTCTTCCGAGCCATATTGTACACACACAGAGATAGATGTATATGCTTTGAGTTTGAGAAAGTCTGTCAGCTAGCTGAAAGTTAGCAAGAGAGAGAGAGAGAAGTGTGGGTGTGCTGAGTTTTGTGCAACCTAGCTAAGAAAGGTAGCTGTCTTTTCAGAGAGAGAGATTGCAATTGAGAAGAGATGTACTACTGTAGGTAGGGTGAATGTGAGAGAGAGAGAGAGAGAGAGAGAGAGTCAGTTTGTTTGAAACTTTGATGTTTGAGTAATCGAGAGTAAGTCAGCAGGGATTAAAATATGGACTGGGGGGTATGTTGTTGGTTAGGATTACTGCATAGTCAGTCCATTCTATCTACCCTTCCCCTCCCAGGGAGGAAAATGAAGGAACCTCAACTACCTTTCACACACTGTTTGAGAATGGGAAGTAGATTGTAGGAGGGCAAGTAAGTTAAGTTTGTCTCCAGCTTCAAATCAGTTGAAGAGAGGAAAGGAATATGCTTTCAAACATAAAGTCCGTTTGACATGCGAGTTTTGTGACACCAGTGTTTTGGGTAGAAAATAGAATCATGTTTGATAACAAAAATTTGTCTTTAAAAAATTAAAAAAAAATTACGTTATGAAATATTCGAATAATATGAGTACAAATTAAAAAAATAATATCAAACCCGTCTTAAGTTTCCCTTTCTTGGAGGAAAGGATGAAGAACAGCTCTGTCTTGGAGGATGTGACCCCATCATGACCACCACCCAAGAGAGACAAAAACCATTACTAGCAGCAGCTTAAGGACATTAATGGAACACGTGGATCAAAAAGAATTTGTGTGGATGACACAAGGGCTCATTTCTCCCAATTATTTGAACCCTTTTTATATTGTAATTTATATTATTTTTGCGGTGAATACCATAGAGAGATGTCATCAGAATCCTAGTGGTCCATAACCCTTAAAGTTAATTATAATTCCCTCTTGCAAATATTAGTAGTACATATTTACACTTTTGCCATAAAGTTACCCCTTCTCTTCTCTCTAAAATTAATGCCAGCAGACCTAGGTTCTTGTAACTATTGTTTTCTTCAAAGAGAAACTTTTAGTTTTGCTCACACATGCACGTTCTTATGAATTTAGGAAATTGATATATTCTTTTAAAAAAATTCAAATTTTTTTAAAGGTTTTTTTTTTTTGTCCAAATTTTTTGGTCAACATTACAAATTAATACTATTCAACATGATCTAGAGGGTTTTGGATGGAAAAATTAGGTTCATGTACTATATTGAATGTTCTTCAAAGACAAACTTGTTCACCATCCATTGCTGACTTTGTTCACCCATATATGGTTGGATGGATCATCACGTCTTATCAAAAGGGGACAACTTGTATTGATTGATATGCAGGGGTTTTAAGTTTGAAACTTCAATCAATCTGAATTTTAGAAAATTGATATAGAATTTAAAAAAAAAAAAAAATCAAATATTTGTAAAAAAAATTAAGATATGCACGGTTCAGTTTTATAAAAGTAATTTTTAAGAAATTATTTTTAAAAAAATTATAAATGACAGTTATTTGGAAACTATCAAATGGATACAAGCTATAATTGCGTTTTTAGAAAATATTTTTCAAGTTCTAAAACAATTTAAAAAAAAAAAATTATTCTCCGAAAACAGAACTAATTTTTTTTTTTTTTTTTTTTTCAAAATTTTTGTTTAACAATTACTTCAGTATTGGATGGAAAAATAAGGTGTTATAAATCTGACTTGGACATTACTCCGTACATGGATGGAATATATCAATTTCCTAAATTCATAAGAACGTGCATGCGTGAGCAAAACTACAAGTTTCTCTTTGGTGATCTTTTAACTTCAGTGCACCAAATAACTACTACTTCAGCTGATTTTTTCTTTTTTTTTTAGCACGCTTTTGCTGAATAACACCAAAATACCCATTTATACAATCCAAAATTTTCCATTCTCGTCAAATCTTTTACTATTTGGTTGAATTGTTCATTTAATTTATTCTGCTTTGATTGTTTGGTTGAATCAAAATTTTATTATTTTTACAGGGACAATATTAATATGTCATTCAGCACCAGTGGGACACGTGGTAGAACTTGACCCATAAATGCTGAAAATTCATAATACATCATAGGTTATTAAAATATGCTTTCTTTCTTAGGAATAATAAAATTCTGACAATATATATATATATATATATATATATATATATAATTTTTGTGAATACAATATATTTGTTGTGCTTTTATTTCAGCAACCTAAAATATGTTGGTTCTAAAAAATACTATATAAAATAGGGCAACAGAGAGACAGACACAAATTTGAAGGTGTGAGACTGTTTCGTAGAGTCGTAAGCCAATGAAATTCCGTAGTCAAATCATCAAATCCAACAACAATAAAGAGAAGCACGTGTCCCTCGGCTTTGTTGCTGCTTTTTTCTTCTTTTATTTTCTCTTCCTCTGTCCTACCCCTTGTCCTTTTCTCCAATGACATAGAAGGAATAGGTCAAATTTCTTTTCCTTCCATGCAAAAGATGAGTAATTATAATACTAATAATTATTAAGATAAAGTGTAAAAATCTCTCCTAAACTTTACTCTCTCACCTTAAAAATCCTCCCGAATTAATAGTTTAACTTCTTAAATTATTAATTTTTTTACAAAAAACATCCGGTAATGTTTCATTTGATTTCTCAGGCCAATTAGGCGTGTGATGCACACATGCTAACAATATATTTTTAAAATGACAAAAGCTACCCTTATACTATTAAATGTATAAAATTAAAGTTGAAAAAAAAAAAAAAAAAATCCCAAATTAAAACCAAAATCTGTTCTAGTTCACAGCCGTCACAAACCAAACCCTAAGACAAAACCTCTTACGCGATCTGAATTTCACCATCGCCGTGTCCTCAGCCACATTCTCTCTCTCAATATCGTCGTCGCGACCTCATCAACGCTGTGAACCTGTTGTCGCCGCCACTGCTGTGAACTTGCCGGCAGCGCACGCCTCCATCTCCAGCGTCGAATGGGCCTGTTGAGGAGTCAACGAGGATGGGTATTTTGCAATTGGGTTTGGTGAGTTTGTTACTCACTTTGCAGGCCGGACGTGTTCAAGAAGGCTATAAAACATGGCTTCTTTGTTGAGGAGTTTTTCGGGCATGTGGGAGGCAACACAGAGAACCTCTATTTGGAAGAAATCAACGAGGATGGGTAGTAGTCCAGGTTCCGATCAATGAACTGCTCGTTGGTGTCATTTGTTTGAAGGTAGCAATTGTCATCAAAACATGGTTTCCAATAGCGAGTGGTGACCAGCGATGCCGATGGGTTGTCTTCACCTTGGTACTGTAAATGGTGAAAAATTGTCATCAAAACATGTCTTCGAAGAACGAGTGCCGACCGGCGATGGCGATGGCGATGGCGATGGCGATGGCGATGGCGATGGATTGTCTTCACCTTTCGTACTGTAAATGGCGATGGGGTTTCTATTTGGGGGTTAGGGTTGAACTGGCAGATTGGGTTTCAAATTGGTGTTCTGAGGAAGTTTGGATTTCAGCAAATTGGGAAGCCAATTGGATTTCGGCGAACTCCTCATCGTCGCTCTGCTGCTGATGCGCTGTGATTGTTCCCGGAGATGAGGAGAGCAATACAGACCTTGACTTGATCGTAGTCGTAGCTGGGGGATGTAGTGGCGCCACTCCAGGAGAGCGGTGTGGGTAGGTGTGGCGGTGGAGGCCGACGACCTCTGCGCCTGCCCGGCCGATGGTGTTGTAATACGTATGTAATGTGTATAATATATATAACATAGTATATAATAAAGCACCAAAACGCTGTCGTTTCACCAGAGGGTAATTTTGTAATCTTATTTTTCAAGACTTGCCTGTTGTCCTTAAGTGTAACTTTTTAATAGTTCAAGGGGGCATTTGTTAATTTAGAAAATTTTTTTGCACTTTACCTTAATTATTATTATTTTTGGTTTAGGGGAATATTATATTATAATGCTAATAATTATTATTATTTGACAAAGACACATGGTTCTTTGTTTAAAAAGAAACACACATCTCATGAAATAGCCAAATTTGTGGTCAACTTGCCTAACATTTTCATAATTCACTTTTTAGGAGAATCCACTCCCTTGTGTACCTATTGTATCTTTTTCTTCCACAGGTGAGGGAACAAAAAAGAGAGAGGAGAGAAAATCATCTTTATTAAAAAAAATTATTATGTTTTATTTTCTAAAATAACTTTTCTTTTTTGGTGTATGTTTGGAAATTTTTATATTTATTTAACTTAAAAAATCTTTATTTTTTTTCTTTTTGGTTGAAATTCAGACGAATTTGTGAAATCTGCCCCTACTTATGATGAATCCTCCAAAAGTGCGAAAGTACCACTTATGCGTTCTAGTCATTATCCTTAATAACATAAGACAATTTGTTTCTGTGTTTTAATTTTAGCGGGATTGTGAATTTATTTTCTCCCTACCAACTCTTGAGTCATATATATCAAAGAAAGTTAGAAGAATGATGGTCTCCTGAAATTCAGGCACCAGTGGAATGATTTGTCCAGTTATTGAATAATAATTCTTCAACTACTCCATGAATTTGGACTAATCTCAACTTTTCAGGAAGCTAATCTTATGATTTTTCAACTACTACATATATATATATATATATATATATATATAGGCATAGCTCACCATGATTCTTAAGTAATTCTTCTTATTTTATATATATATATATATATATATAGGCATTAGCTCACCATAATATTTTCTTATTATAAAAAGAATCTAATAGATATTTTTTTTGGGAAATTAAGAATCTAATAGATTATTTATAAAATATTAAATTAAGTACCATGTGGGGGCATGTAACATAAGACAATTTGTTTCCGTGATTTAATTTTAGCGGGGTTGTGAATTTAAGTTCTCTCTAATAACTCTTGAGTCATATATGTCAAAGGAAGTTAGAAGAATGATAGTCTCTTACAATTCAGGCATCATTGGAGTGATTTGTCCAGTTATTGAATTATAATTCTCCAACAACTGAATGATTTGTTCTGTGATAATTATTCTTCAACAACTCCATGAATTTGGACTAATCTCAACTTTTCAGGAAGCTAATCTTTTGATTTTTAATAATATATGCAGAGCTCACCATGATTTTTGAGTAACTATTTCTACATTAAGGTTCCGTTTGTTGGGACGTAAAATATTTTTAAATATATATATATATATATATATTTTGATATTTGGTTGTCGTAAGATATTTACGAAGAAAAAAAATATTACAACT